ATGAGTTTTTCTTCCATATATGTATAGTTTTTGTACTCTTGGACTGTAACAATGTCAAGACTTCTTGAGGAGTTACTTGATTTCATTCAGCGTCTATACAAAGTTGTTATATGATTTGAAGCTTTCACGGCGACGTAACTCAATAAAATCTTCTCGGGTGATCAGCTGTATCAAATGGTTGAACAAGATTTTATTGACATACAAAGTTGTGTTTTTTATTATTACATAAACTACTTAGCACTTAAACAACCTGTTCATCGTCTCCATTCCTCTCTATCTCGTGCTCAGGTAGACCAGTGTCTGGTGGTATGGCCATATAAATTCCTTGAAAATGTATTTTAGGCACTTTCATCATACACATCACAGTATAGTCAGATGTCAAATGTCATCGAAGATTAAAAGCAGGATGAGTTTTAATTCTAAGCATTATGTGCTACCTTTCTTTCTCACTCTTAACTTTGAGGGAAGAAGGACATTATACATTTCATGTCTTTGGTTGGCAGTTCCTGCAGCAGATATAGCAGCACAGCAATTTAACACATATTTTGCACCACAAGGCAGTTGCATTGCAGTAGTAGGGCACTACACAAGCTTATGATGTTTGGAGTCTGAGATAGATAATGGTATTATTCAGACAAAGATGATCTCTTTAAAAATTTTGTGCTTCAAACTCATTTATATTATTATTAATGGAGTCATGAATTTTAAATTACAATATTCTTCTGTTACTCTGTTTCAGAGTGTGTTGTGTACGTTTAATGGTTTTCTACACTTTGTACTGTCGCATGTTTACAGGTGACCCTGATTACAAGATGAAGTGCATTGGTTATTGGAAGGAGAATCTCAAATCATATTTGATCACATTTGATGAGTTGGATCCTTTTAGCAAGTACCGTTGCTGGGTAAGGAAATTAATCTGTTTTATCTATTATACTTTGTGTCTCATGTATAGAATGCCCCCAAAAGACGTATACATACATTCGGTAAATTGACTGCCTTTCAACATGAATATTCATATTTCAAGAAGACCAGTCCAAACAATAAATATCCTGAAACTGTATGTCCTCACCCACATTCCTCTGAATCCAGTTGCAAAACTCTAGTCTGTGGTCATGATCATCTTTAATCATGACATGCAATAACCTTAGCATGTAACATTTCCACTTGGCTCTTTTGAGAATCCACAGTGTAGAAATCCCAATCTCACTAGCACATCACCATAGATATTTCTTTGGCTACCATGTAACACCATAGCAGAAGTGTCCTCACTCGTTAAAGTGCAAGGTACCAGATTGTTGCTTACACATGTTGTTCACAGTATCTTTTACATCTCAGATTTATCTTATATTCTTGTAATTATTCGTCTTTTTGGGGTATGGTTTCAAATGCATGTGTCCACCATCTTTGCACTGCAAAGCATATTCTTGAATTTCCAGTACTTAAAAATTGATTTGCGCTACTGGAAACTCAATCAACTCTCCACCATTTTGTGTATATGAATTATGGGAAAAAATATTGTGGTGCCATATGTTTAGTGTAGACCACACTAGGTTCCCCTTATAAACAACACACAAATTGATAACAAGGTTAGTATTCTGTGTTACAGTGGACATGTATCTTTTTGTAACAACCTGTACATCCGCTGAAAGATCCAGTCACTCACTATGAAAAGTCGACTGGTACTCGGCTTGTCAAAGAATAGCCTTTTTTTTGTGAAACCTGAAGGTTCATCACTGTGTTCACAAAAGCCTGCTACCAGACTATCCTGAGCTTGCTGCATCCAGTTCAGTCCATCAATTCCTATCTCCCTAAGGTCCATCTTAATGTTATCCTCCCACCTATGCCTAGGTCTTGCCAGTGGTTGCCTCTCTTCAGGCCTGCAAACCAGTACCTTGTAAACACCCCTCCCCTCCCTCATGCATATTGCATGTCCCACCCACCTCATTCTCCTCAGTTTGGTTGCCTTAATATCAGTTGAGGAGCACAGACCTTGAAGCTCATCACTATGCAGTTTTCTTCATGAAATGTCTTCCATCCTCTTAGGTCCAAATATTCTCCTTAGCACCCTATTCTCATACACCCTCAGTGTACATTTCTCCCCTAGTGTCAGTAACCAAGTTTCACGCCCATACAAAACTACAGGCAAAATTATAGTTTTGTAAATTTTAATCTTTATGGTTTTAGACAGCAGATGAAAAGAAAAGGTTGTGAACTGAGTGGTTGCAAGCATTACCCAAATTTAATCTGCTCATAATTTCCTCTTCAATCAAATTTTGTCACTCCCAAATATCTGAACGTTGCCACATTTTCAAAGGATCCATTAGCTGTTATTATGTTATGATTTTGCTGTGCATTTTGGTGACATCAACATGTACTTAGTTTTCTCTGTGTTTACTTCTAGACCACTTTCCTTCCTAGCATCACTTAGAGCTTCTGTCGTCTTCTTCATGGTATTGATGTTATCCTCCAGTAGATTTGCTTGATCAGCGTAGACCAGAAGCTGATGCGTGCCATTCATTTTCATTCCCACCTGTTTTTCTTGGACCTTGTGAATGGCATATTTTAAAGCAAAGTTGAAACACAATGGTGATAAAGTATCTCCTTGTTTTGACAATTTTGAATAGGATATGTGTCAGACAAGTGTTTAGCTATACGAACTTTACCATATGTAAGAAATTGTCAGTATTAGAATTTTTCTAGTAAGTTGGGGCATGAAAATTGATTCTGAAGAAGCGCTGACTCCTAATAGATTCAGTCTCCAAATGTTAATGGTAATAGAATAGTAAGTAAACAGATCTGGACCATTTTACTTCATCTTTTTATGTTTATATTTTGTGTTGTTTTCATCATGGTTAACAAATTTTAGTCAACCATCTGCATTGGAAATTATAAATCTTATGTCAGATGATTTGTATTTCACATTTTCATTTGATCTTTTCTGTCATGGTTTTGTTATTGTTTTGACAATGAGTTTGTCCATCTTTTGTGTAGGTATACCAACGTGCAGATCTGAACCGCGTGCTTATGTCTCAGGCAATTGGGCCTTTCTGTGACTTAAAACAGGATGTGACAAGCTGGAATTACACAGAGGGAGCAGCTGTAGCTGTGGAGATGCAGGAATATGAACGAGAGCGTGAGTATATGTAATGTGTTTGGGTGTGCGCAAACGCATTTTTATCCACTTCCGTGTGCCAGAAGAGGAAAAAAATTTGTTTATGTGCAGATTATGTATATGTCGTTCTACCCCCCCAAAGCACTTTACTGTAGCATGTGCTGTCATATCTGCAGTCACACGTGTCCTGTACTTCCCTAAATACACTTTCATGTAAAATGTCTTGTCACACAATTTGTAAATATTGACTCCAAAATTTTTGTGTTTTGTCTGGAATTTATCCATCCTTTGAAAAGTATTAAACTTTGTTCACAGCCAGATGTTCGGAAGGAGCAGTTGTTGTTCAACAAGTCAGACATTTCTCAGTTTCCATGGTCTGTCATAGTTCAGATCCTTTTTTGTCAGCAGCATTGTCATTGTTTGAAAAGTGTAGGAATATATTAAAACACTGGGGTTCAGTCCTTGTTGATTTGGGTGTCACATTCTACCCTTTGCCAGGTGTGTCGCCAGTGAACTTAGAACACCCATGTTTTTACTGCCTGTCAGTTGTCCCAACTTGTACATCCCTTTGAATGTGAATGGGGTTGGTTAGTTACACTTCTTGTGTCAGATATGGTCATGTTCAGCCCTATTTGTCTGACCCATCAAACTACCCTGTTTGGACACTCCTTGGTGGGGTGAAAGTAGGGAATGTTCTTTCAGGTCATCTTCCTCCTAGTCTGTTTCATTAATCTTGATCTCTTAGCTATTGTATGACAAACAATCCTTTCCTCAGCACACGCAGTATGAAGTTATTTTTAGATTGCATTAGCTGTATGAAATAACATGTAATATTTTCATACAGTGCAGACACTCAAAGCTGATTTTAATTCTCAAATAAACTCCATCACATTGAAGGGATAAACCATTCTGCAACCAGGTTACTGACAAAGAACTCTCAGAAAGATTGTATTCATTTTACTGTCGGGGTTGGCAGACCAAACAAACATCGATATAGCAGTTCTAAGCAATGTACATTGAGACTCCAAGACTTTCTACCACTGTAAATATGCAGTATAAGGTTAAATTCGAAAATTATCGATTAAAACATGAAAAAGTAATCTAAATAACTGAAAATAAATGGAAAGTAAGTGTGTATATGAAGACTAGTAATTATGAAGCTTCATAATAGAGTTTTTATTTTGAGTTGTTAGCTTAAGAAATGTGGTAAATACACCATATTTTGTAACATTCAGAACTTTTGGATGGTTGAAATTCAAATTGAATCCACACATACACATAGACCCAAGAATTTAAACGCTGGACTGTAAAGGTTAATTTCATTTCAATTTTCCTCAGTTTTAATAAAGTGTTCACTGGTTTAGCCACACAAACTGATACTGTTTTGATTAATAATGGGATAAATTTGTGCATGATGTCTCTTCATTTTTGTCTCTGTTTTCTGTCTCATTTTAACACCTCTCACGTGCACAATATCTGTCATGCAATTATTCTACTCAAAACTGCATTTTTGCAACACAAGCAGGCAGTGTGTGATAGATAGTATGCGCATTGTGCTTGATTGACATGTAATCACTGCAATCAGTGACCAGTGACTTTTGAACATAAAAAAGAAAAATTTAGATGTGTTTGGTACGTGAAGTTTATTTAATTTTAAAACTGTGATGCAGCTTATGAATGAGATTTTATTCAATTTTTATTTTCTTGTTAAAAGTCAAGCACAGCTTATATTCATATAAGTTTTAAGATTTCTGTCTTCTGGGTTGTTGCCCTGTGTAGTATATAGTTGATGTTTACTAACCTAGCCCTCTCCACTCAGTTGGCTCATTCATCGCCCTGATGACGGAGGCAGTATGACCTCTGAAACGTTGGTAAACATCTACCAGACTACACAGCGCAACAACCCAGAAGACAGAAATCTTCATATTCACCGTTGTGAAAACCTCAAATAATACATTATATAAGTTTGTTATATGTACCTCCATTAATTTTTGTGGATCACTAAGTTTTATTTATATCATGTTATCTATCTGTATACATTTTGCTTGAAGAATCATAAATATGGCAGTAATAAGCAATGGAAAAATTGATCTTCCAAATTATAGGCATAATTAATTTGTGTCATGAAATATGTGAATGCACAGGTTTGTGCATGTGATCAACATATGTAATAATAGCTAAAAAAAATTGTTTACAGGGGACCAGTGTCCTATGCATTTTGATGATGGCAGTAACCCTTGGATACATTCAGAGAATTATGTGCAGGTTTTTAAGTTTGGCACCAGTGCAGCTGCTATATTCAGTAACATTGCTGGAAGCTTGGTCATGTTTCTGATATATTACATCTGCATGAAGACTTTGCTTGTTGGCTGAATCATTCAAAGGTAATTCTGTTGTTGAAAGCTTGATTGTGTTTGTGATATACTTTATCTTCATATGTTGCTGATTTGAGATGTGAAGTCTGTGTAACAGCATCGGACAAAGGCCAACCTTTCTTCTTTTAAAATTCAGGAAGAGTTCCACAGAGTTCTTCCTTTTCTCACAGTGTATTGAGACACATCGCATACGTGAGCGCGTGTGCCTAAAATAAAGTGTGTCCTTTATAGCAGAAGATGCCTGTTGCAACTTTTATATACCATGAGCTTAATAGGCAGAAAATGTTAATAGTTAAGATATTGCTTCCATCTTCAGGGTTGAAGGCAGTATGTTTCTCTGCCATGTATACATGCTCTTATGTTAAGCTGAACTGTTGGTGTTGTGTCACATTGTCATATTAGTGATAAATATTTGTGCAAATTGATTTAATTAGAAATCAGCGACTTCAATAACAACATATACAGAGTGATAAAGAAGTTACAGGCAGTGTTAGTTATTCCAGTGATAATGAAATAAAATGGAGAATCGGATGAGGATGATGCATAGTGTACGTTCACCAGCTAAATGATTCTCTAAACTGTGGAAGTAGGGGAAGAGATCTCTATATTTCTTGGAAGTGTTGGTAGTAGAGGATACTTATTGATTAGTTTGTAATAATATGGTAAAAAAGCCAAGGTTTTCTATTTGAAACTCTGCTCTTTCCTCAGTAGTCAATTTCTGATGAACGAATGAATCAGTAGAAAATAAATAAAACAATTAAAATGTATATTCATGCATCATATGTCAGCTAAGAGCATTCAGAATGTAAAGGAGCAAAGAATGCATATGAAAAATCTTTGCATTCAGAATACACCTTTCCAGTCTTAATATTGTTAATAGGAATGTGACATCTGTAGATTCGTTCAGAATGTGCTAAAACAATAATTATAAGCCAGCCATACTTACAACAGTTGAACTGGCATTATTTGCTAGCTGCTAGGAAAAATTGGGACTGTCTGTCATAAGTGAGATTTAATGCTCTTAGGGCAGTGAGTTTAAAGATTTTTGTCTTCTGGGATATTGTGCTATGTATTCTGGGAGATGTTTTCCGTTGTTTCATCACCCCGATGATGAGGACAGAAGGTACTTCTAAAACATTAGTAAAATTCTATCACGCTGCATGCTGCAACACCCAAAGAGGAGAGTCATCTCAATCTGCACTAACTTTTCTCTAAAAGTTTTAGAAGATAAGGATGTCTGTAATTTTAACAATTTTAGAGGAACCTAAATCATCAGCTTTAAAAAACTCTTGATGCTGCATGATGCAAAGGATGGATCTAGTTGAACTATGCTTGTTTATATCTTTATTGTTGGTATTTATTTTCAGAGTTCATCTTTGATTTAGAAGTCTGTCAAGCTAAAGCATGCAGAGATTAAGAGATGAAAGAAGAAGTATGCGTTTTTCCCAAATGGATGAACTTCCTGATTAAGTAATAATTTTGTATGATATTATTATATGAATTGGGATATAGATCTGTTTTATTAAAGCAGTGTTAACATTTTAAAGTAATCAAATAATGTTTAAGTGTGAGGTAAGTATTTTTTTTTTCTCTTTTTTATTTTGAAACATACTTAGATACATAATGCTAATCAAAAACTATTCCCAGAGTAAAAGACATGGTAGTTAATTTCACAGCCTTCAATTTACACATATTACACTTTTAAAGTTGTACTACTAGGTTAATTATAATTAACATCTGCTTTCAGATGTACTTTTGTAGGCATATTAAGATTTGACAAGCAGTAATAGTTTTTATATGCTCTAACCAGATCACTGACTTTTATATATTTGTGTATACAATGTAATTTTATATCACCACTGCCACTCACTTATGCTTCTAGCAAGAGTGGATTTTTATTGTATTTTATATTTATGTAACATAAACAAACATTGCGTCCAGTGGAATTATCAAAATAGTCATTAAGGCCAAGATCTTTTGTACTTACTGAAATCATTGATGATATCATGTAAACATGTTACATGCATATAACTGTAGAATATGGGAAGTGGTTCAGTTTATTCTTTGATATCGTTATCTTATACATTTTTAGTTTGAATTGTAGTCATCATTTCTAATGAGTGGTAATCATTAGCTGCTTTTTAATTTCCTCAGAAAAATTATGTTATCTGTTTTAGACATGTTAAATACTCTGCAATCCCATGAAATGTAAAGAATTTCTGCAGCCAGGTGATTGCTACAATTAAGTTCGATAATATCCGTAAATGTTTTTAAGCCAAAGTACATGTGTAGTGATCAGAATATTCGTAAGCAATCATGTTAACATCTGTCGGGATTACTGAACTCTAAATATGTGGTTAGTTTGGTGTAGTTTTTAATTTGATATAAAATTAACACTATTTGTTTTTGTTTTTTTTATTATTATTTTGAATTAGTACAGGTTTTAGAAGTTTAAATTAAGACCTGCCACTTTAAATGTAATTTTTAATGGAAAAATTATATAGGTAGTTTTTTTGGCTATTTAATTGTAGTTTTTACATACTGAAATATGGTTGTGTGGTTATAAAATTAGCATACTTGTCTGATAAAGTATTAATACACATATTCTCATTCCATCACCGATGCTGCAATGAGTAATTACTCATCTCTTTGAATTAGTAATGAATGTGTGTGAGTACTTGATGACATTAATTTTAGTATTAAGTCGTGTTCTGTTATGCTGTCTGTTCTCTCTCATATCATTCCACGCCCTTACTGAGGCAGGTACAAACATATCTCTTCCTTTTCCATCTCTTTCCGTCCATAAACCCTACCTCTAGATAATGTATAAACAGTATAATTAAAAAAGTGCAATGAATGTTTATGATAAAGTAACCCCCTTCTGGCTGATGCTTGGGTTTTTTTATATAAAATATTGTAGTATGGTGCTTCTGCCTATTTTATTTTCATGTAACTGGGAACAGTTTACAACACTACAGCATGAGTATTTTTCAATTCAGTTCATTTATTTAAGTGTTTGCCAACAGCAAGAAGCCAAAAACAGGCAAACACTGATAATAAATATATATAATAATAAGATAATGAAAAATATTACACAAACAGATTAGCTAAATATATACATGTACAATATTAAATATAACAGCCAAATACAGGTGTACCCAAAATAAAAAGAATATTATACACAAAGAAAAATAAAAGCAAATCATCCACGTAGGTAAACACTAATATAAATGTAAGGTGCTGAAGAAATACAAGGAACAAAATAATAGCAAAAATTAAACTACAAGCAACTAAACTATCTAGATCATTTTCCTTATTGAGAACGTGCCCTCAAAGGAGACAATGTTTGTGCTAAATATGTCCAAAGATTTGCATACGTCATTTGCAGCGATGACACACTTGGCTGAAAGACTATGTCTTTGCACACTGCTCAACTAAAAGTAGAAAATTCTCTTATTTGCCTTGCCAGCACATGTATACCAACAGTGTCCATAATGGAATGGCAATTTATTTTGCCGTTAAAGACTAACAAGAAATAAAGCATTGAGATGATATCTGGAATAAAGTGTTATAAGATTTAAAGTAGATAAAATCAATTCATATTGACACTGTTAATGAATGTTCTGGTTATTTGTCGCTGATTGAGAAAGTTTTTCATTATTATTATTTTAAAAAGTATAAAGATGATAGTCAGTGTTTAGCAGCCAGTAAAGTATCACCAAGAGATGCATACATGTACCCAAGTCAGCAGTGAAATAATACATAAAGCAACATTAATAGTAATGATGATTCAATTCTATTCATTTATTAAAGTGCTTGACAACAGCCAAAAAGGCCAATAACAGCCAAGCACTAGCAACAATACAAAAGCAAACAAACAAATATATAAATGAACAATATTAATTTATTGCAAAATAATAAGTAAATGCTGATGATAATAATAATAGAGGTATTACAGTCGTGCACAGGATTACTGGTGTATCTAGTTTTGACATAAATACGTCTATATGGAAGGGTCATTCCGCGAAAAAGTGACAGAAAAATGCGTAAGATCCCTATCAACAAATCGACGACAATGTGTAAATATGGACCGACAACAATGGTCAGCTTACGTGCATTGTTATGTTACTAGGAAACGTCATCTGTTTACTCGGTGTTGTGTTACATTACTGCCATCAACAATCCGCTTTCGTAACAAGATGGATGACATTGAAGTTAACATTACATAACTTTACTTTACATTAAATTACATTACATTACAGAGACGTAAATATAATTTAAATACAGAGACGTATTTACGTCAAATTCTCCAGAACCGTGGTTCCACTGTAACTTTTTTAAATCTTCTGACGATAGCATTGTTAAAATGCACATGAAGTATTTGTTGTGGAGTATTTCTGTATATTATAATTTAGTGTATGAGTTAAGATTGTATGTTGTATACCTGTTCTGCGTACTTTGCAAAGAGAATTTTCAGAATACCGTCCATTTATAAGCTTTACTAGAGTGCTGTAATATTTTTATATAGAAGTAAATAGTCTGTCAACAAAGAGAAAACATATTTTTCAAATTATGAGTGGCAACTGAAATATGTTTATAGAAAAGTGTTTTACACTTTCAAACATATTATAGAAGTTGTAAATTCATATAAGGAGCATAAAACTATTTGTGTCTATGGGCTTGAAACATGGTGTTTAAATATTAAGAATTTTATAGTAATGCATTTCAATGGAAGTGATACACCGTTTTAAATATAAATTTCAGCATTTTTTAAAATCAATTTCATTGAGAATTTTAATATATGTAAGTGTGTTCACTGTTTAAAACTGAGTATTATGTATGGATATAGACTGACATACATTCCAGTTTGTTTTACATTTTTATTCTCTGTTGAACAGTTCATGGATAATGATAGCTAACACCATTTGTAAATGTAGGTGGGGCAGATTTCATTCATCATTTAAAGATGTACTAGTTTCCTTCAGTTTATTCAAACTAATGTGAATTGAAAGGCAAGTGTTTGTTTGCCATTATATAGGAATATTAAAACAAAGTTACTTCTTAAAAGTAACACTTGTTACATATCGTACATCAAGATTGATGCTCATGATTCATAACACTTTCCATTATGCGCAGTAACATGGCCAGTGATAAGGCTTTAATTTTTTCAGAAATTGTTTGTTTGAGATTATTTAAGTATGCCAGACATGTTTGAAACACTGCTTTTCAAGTAGTCACATAAAAAGAAATCACATTTTGTCAGCTTGGGCAAAAGTGCTTGCCATAGCGGGAAATAATTTGATGTTCAAACACAGTCAGGAACCTTTCCATGTCTCTCATTGTTAAAATGCTGTCTGAACATTCATTGCATTCACTTAGTATTATCCCCTCCCCAGAGCTGCCAGAGTACTGCGTAAATCAAAATAATGAATGAATGCTGGCTCACCCTATACATACTTTATGAAATCACCAATTTATGTAATTATCTGGGGATCTTTAGAATATATCTGGATAAAGCCAGGTTATAGATAACGGTTGGTATGTTGATATTTTTCCAGATTTCTTTTTTGAGGTGTGTTCACAATCCTGTGGAGTGACTATAAAAATTACTCCTCTTCACAAGTGTTACCTGAAACTAATTTATTTTCGAAAATGTTGTACTGGGGTATTTTATGAAAAACTGTCATATGAGAACATTTTGGTAACTTTTTGCATTCAAGCGTAAGAAACCTAATGGCTGCCATTTTGTCACACACCCGCTTGAAGTGCATACATTAGTAGTATTATATGCACAAGAGTAGGTGTAACAGCAGCTGCAGTGCAGTGAACTAGAAAATAGGTTTCATTACTCCTCAGGAAGTAAGAATTTTCTTTCCCACCACATGTTCAGATGGCTTTTGTGACAGTTACAGTAGCTGTCACCAAATTGCATGCTTTAAGGCCATGGAAGGATTTCACTCCTTTACTGCACAGCTCAAAGTCAACAGTACAGTGTTGATAGCTTTGCTATGCTGCAAGGTCTGAGCTGTCTTCTGTATGTAACTGGAAACTCAATAAATGTAGCTTTACCAAAACAATTGGAGAGATACATCCTGTAAAGCTCATATCCAGTCATATTTATAACTCTTAAAGTATAGTTCATTTATTTAACAATGTAAAACATAAAATGTTATATTTTCATTATATTTAAATAAATCACTTCTGGCTATTTTAATAAAACGTCATAATGTAAAATTTCCTTTACATTCATTCAGAGAATGCTTAAAATACCCCTGTATGACATTCTGCACTGAATTTCACTTAAAGAGTATTTATACTAAGTAATAAGATTTTGAATTGTAGGGCAAATGAAGACAGACTAATTCATCAAATTCCAGAGTATAAAATTTGTTCCCCTTTTGAAACAGAGGAATATTCCTGAACTATGATACCAGTTAACATTACTGAAATATGAGCAAATCTCGCAGGTTAGTTGTTTGTGGACTGTTATGTTATTCCATAAATTAAAAAAATTAAAATTCAAAATTCAAGAATTATGCTTGTAGACCAATTTAAGTGGTTGTAACATTACCATAACTTTTCAAAGAAAATTTGCTGCACCACATACTCAAAAATATGCAAAAAAAATGGTCCTTGACTATTTCCAAGTTTCATATTTTACCCTCATTCTTAATGATTGAAACTAAACTGAAACTCTCCACCTTTGAAGGAATTGAGAATTATTACCAACATAAAATAAATTAGGTGTAACACAGTACCTCATCTGTCTTTTGCGTTATGTCTACTCTGAAATATGCATAAGCAAATAAACAGGTCCACAGATCTTTTATCAGTTTGTTATACTGTTCATGGACAAATTTAAGCAGAAGATGGCTGCCTTCTGGGTTGTGCCATATAGTCTGATAAAAGTTTACTGAGCTTACTCATCACCCTGATGATGGAGGCAGCAAGAACCTTTGAACATCAGTAAACTTCCACCAGACTACATGGTGCAACAACCCAGAAAACAGCCATCTTCAGACTAACTGCAATGAAAACCTCAAATCATACAAATTTAAGCAACTTAGACACGTAAATGCTTCAAGATCTTTGTTAATTAAGAAATAAAAACATGTATATTCCTCATTAAAAGGTCAGCTTTATTGACATTATATAAAACAAAGTCACATGGAAAGATAAAGTTAAATATTGATGTCTGATTTATGTATTGTACACTGCATGATGATACTTGTAAAGCAGTCATTTTCAACCAGCTTTTATTGGATAGAAATGGAAAACTGCACAAATACATGCGATAGCTGATGCCTTACTGCATTAGAAACTTAATTTATTAGATAAGTAGGGAAAAGAAACTCCAATGTGGCCCATGCTCTGTAAAAAAGTTGCTCATTAAACATTCTTTTAAACTGGCTGGAAATAAGTACTTATTTATTTGTGGTTTATTTAACGATGCTTTTTCAGTAGCTCAGACTGTATAGCATCAATTGAGAGGGTGATAGTGAATTGGAAAGGATGTGGAAGGAAGCGGTCATGACCTCATTTAAGGTACTATCCTGGCATTTGCCTGGAAGGACTGAGGAAAACCACAAAAAACCCAGTCAGGATAACTGGTCTCTGGGCCAATATTTGAATCCGGGACCTCCGGAATACGAAGCAGGAGTGTTAACCACTCAACCACGACGTTCAGTGGCTGGAAATACAAGGTATACACAAAAGAATGGTGCAGTTTCAAAAGTTAATAAAACAATTATTTCTCAACATACACGATTAGCGGCGGAAACTGTCCAAGTTTCTCATGCGTTAATAACAATCCTTCAATGTGTGCATCCTGGGTCACACGACACACATCCACACGGTAATCAAACTCATCCCAGACCCGGTGTAGCATGTCCGCTGTAATGGCCTGCAGTGCATGCGTTATCCGATCACGAAGTTCATGGATGGACGTGGGCAATGGTGGTACATAAACGGTCTTTAACGAACCCCCAAAGAAAGAAATCACACGGTGTAAGATCTGGTGAACGGGGTGGCCAAGGGAGAAGGTTGTTGTCTCCATTTGCAACAGCACGTCCGATCCAGCGCTGTGGACAAACACGATTGAGAAGCACTCGTACATTCCTGTGAAAATGGGGAGGAGCTCCGTTAAGTTGTAGAATGTAATCGTCATAATTGTATGTTGTGCCCGTGTAAGGTGAGAAATAATTTTGTTATTAACTTTTGAAACCGCACCATTCTTTTGTGTATACCCTGTATGAGCTTGATTATCACGCAAGTGAATTATTCCATTAATCTACTTTTTTTTACTATAAAAATTTGTGATTCCTCGTCGTCGTCAAAAATGACGTCATCAACAATGTCACCTTATATTTGTTTATACTCGATATTGTTGTGGAACACTATGCCGAGTAAACAAATAACGCTTGACAACAAAAACTATTAAGCCAATCGCACGATCACTGCTCCAGCAGCAGCATATCGCCTCCGAACGAAGAAATGTGAAAGAAGACGTTACCAGCACCAACAAGGTAATCTGATACTACTAATAATATTCATTCAAGTCATACTGCTCATTCAAGGGTTAAAACACTTGAATAAGACACTAAACTAACCCCCCGAAGGGCGTTATTTTAGTGTCTTACTCAAGATTTTAAAACTCAAACAACCCCCCTGGAGGGGGGTTGGTCAAGTGTTTTAACCCCCCATTCGGGGGGGTTAGTTTAGTTTCTTACTCAAGGGTTAAAACACTTGAATAAGACACTAAACTAACCCCCCGAAGGGCGTTATTTTAGTGTCTTATTTATGGTGCGAACTGGATGCAGCTGGCTCAAATGGCGGGCTTTTGTGTACACGATGGTGACCTTAGGGTTCCATAAAGTGTGCTCTTCTTTGACAAGCCGAGTGTAGAATGAAGTTTTCAAAGAATACCCTGCACCACAGAGTGAGTGACTGTAATTTGCATTCAAACAGTGTTGCACAAGGAAACAAACCCACTATTACTTGCATATATAAATAGTAGCTGAAAACTTTTGGGTAATGTAAATTCTGGGTTTGAGTTTTTCACGGCTGTGAGTCTGACGATGGCTGTCTGTTGGACTGTTGCGCCTTGTAGTCTGGTAGAAGTTCACTCATCGCCCTGATGATGGAGACAGCAAGGATCTTTGATACGTCGGTAAATTTCTACCAGACTACACGGGGCAACATCGCAGAAGACAGCCATCTCCGATGTAAATTCTTCTATGGAATAGGAGAGAGATACTTCTACTATGAAATATAACTGTAGCAGACCACTCTTTACTCTTCACAGCTGCGGTTTTCATGGAGGATTTGGATGTTGTACATTGGAGAGCAGCCGCGAAAACTACGAAGAGAAACTCACACTAATATTAACTGTGATCTTGACTAATGTAGTTGTGATCATCTGTGGTATTGATGGTCATTGTGGTGGTTTGAATCTTGGTGTGAGAATTTTCGTTTTATCCGCGACTGGAGTTTATCACTACGCTTTGTTTTCAGGTTATATACTTTAGGTGTTTTATTAAAGTAACAAATAGATGCTAGCAATTACGAGGCGGAACAAGTCATAAGTATAATACTTCAGCTGTAGAAAATACCTAGAAATACCAACCTCATTTAACTAGTTCTTGGGAAATTATACAGTGAAGATAATTTTGTGATATGCCATCAAAACATTAGGAAGTCTTTCAAGTATAATTGGTAAATTATCATTGCTGATAAATATTACACGCGCATCTCTCATTCTGTGTTTAACTGCTCACCATATGAAAACATCAGCCATAAAATTTATACTTCAAGATCTAGTTACTGTAGACAAAATATGACAAAAGTAGGAGTGAGTATTTTTGTCAAAACGAATCCAAAATTTAATCAGTTAAATATACTGTGTCACTGCAAGGAACAAGGCATAGAATGCTGTAGTGTGCAATTGCAATGTAAAAAATCCAATATACATATCCTAACCATATACAGAGCCCGCACAGGTGATTTGAAGTTTTTCTAAAACAAGTTGGAAAACATTATAACTTATCTTTATAAACCAACAGCAGAATTTGTCATTTGTGGTGATTTTAATATTAATGATATAACTGAAAGTTATCATAAATATGTCTAAAACTCCCTTCTAAAATTTTTCATCCTATACTAATAGTTAATTTCCCCACAAGAATTTAAAATTACTCCAGTCCTGCCTTTGATAGTGATTGTATAAGGAATTACTTGTTCTCATTGATTGTGATGTTGAACTGATAGTTATAAAAATAGTAGAATTAATGTCCAATTATCATAATTACAGGAAAAAAACAGACTTGTAAATGAAGACGCAATTAAAGAATGTATAACAGAGCTAAGTAATGAAAAGTGGGACTTTGTTTTATTGTCCAGGTTTCACATCCATAGAGGAGTGTAGGTATGGCCAAAGTTTATTTCTGCAAGATGTTTTGCTGCCTTTAGCAATTCACTCATTTCCAGATATCCTCATAGTTCTGGTTAAGAAACTTACTTCAAAAATTTTTAAGAGGATATCTAGAAATGAATTTTGAATCTACATCATGGCTGTTTAATACCGAGTGACAAATTAAGAATCACAGCATCAGAGATGAAGTTTTTAAGACAGAAAAATACGCATGGAGAGATCATAATGGAATGAAGACATCCACAATGAACTGCAAACAGAACCAATATTAGAAAAAAATCACAGATGCAGAAGGAATTGGATTCAGCGTGTACGAAGAATGGACAAGGACAGATTGCCACATCTAATTTTGAAACAGAAACCAATAGGAAAATAAATAAGGGGCACCCTTTTAAAAGGTTCCTGGACGATTGAGGGCAGAACGGGTCCACAAGGCCCAAAATCTTTGATAGATATTGATGAAGATGACTGTGACAAGAGTAGGGTTGTTTATGATTTTCATAACATTATATTTTTATTTAATAGTCCTATGTAGAATATAGTTTATTTCTATGAATTAGTACTTCATGTTTAAAAGACATAAAAACACACATGTTCATATTCAGGGCATTGATGGCTATTGCCTTTTAATAATTATTTGTTCATTGAACACAACCATAATTTTTTTGTTTAGGTGCATTTTCCTGCACAAAATAGGCCCAACCATTTTATCCTTCAGTCAACTGCTCAAACAAGGCCTCCGATATATTTTTTTATAACACTTCATGAGTATCTGTTATTAAAGTATGCTTTGAATGACAACAGTTTTTATTGGCAGTGCAGTAGGTTTTATACTGATTTTGTGCCTGTGCTAAAGTGTATTTGCTTCCTGTGTCTGCCTACACAGCTGTTGGCATGTCACAACCCTGCCAGTTGGTTCTTATTGGTAAAAGAGAGAGAGTTGTTATGTCCACACTGAACCACTCTAAAAATAATAACAAATATAAATATACAATGTTTTGTAGGATTATTGTTTTCCAACTGAATCAAAACTAATCAAACATCCAGCCGTGTATGTATTTGGAGGGTCCTAAGCTGACTGGTTATCTTAAATGCCACTTTTTTGTAGTTTTCTTCAGTTCTTTCAGCATTAAATAAACCACAAATAAATATGTTAATCAGATTCACTGGCAAGATTGTTTCCTTTCTCAGTGTTGTTTTTAGTGTGAACTGTAGGAGGAATTAGAAGTGAAGGATAAACACACCATTCTCACTGCTCTTAGCTGATAGATCCATGTATTAGAACCCAGTATCTAGTAGCTTTAATGAAAGATGTTTCTCTGAAAAATTGGTATCTGCAAGTCTGCTTGGTATTACAACTCAGAGGAACAATATTGACAGCTTTACTGCCATGAGAATGCCAGGTCTTATATCTTATTGTCCAATAATGAAAATAATCCCAAGAACATTTAGACCCATTAGCCAAAAAGTACTGTGTAAATCAGAATGATGAATGAATGCTGACCAACGCTGTATAAAGATAGCTAATGGATCCTGTGAAACTATGGCAGAGTTTAAATAATTGCATAAAAATTGTTACTTTTCTATTTTTATAGAAATGGAGCCAATGTCACTAGGTTCACCTGTTGCCAGTCAAGTTAGCCCTTCCAGTCCAGGATTTACATCACCTTATCTTCCAGAGTTTCTTATGGGTGAATCTACTCCAGGAGTAAGTAATATGAAAACTAGTTTCTTGGGATTGTGCTCATATTTTTTGTAGTGTGTCAGTTTTTAGTTTTGTTGTTTTTATAACGTAAAACATTTTTACTGCGGAGGGTTGTTAACCCTACGCCCAACTCCCATTCTGGAGGACCACTCCTTATCTGCTGTCCGCGACTGTTTATTCAATATATTCACAGCTAACCTTCATAACTGGAGGCTGTACCTCCATCTGCAACTTTTGGGCTGTAAGGATGATATATTGATGAAGTTGGCTCAGGATTGTGGTTGGTGGCGGGCTTTGGTGTTGTCGGCGTTGGATCTGTGGGTTCTGCTACTAGAGAATTTGTTAGTTATTTGTATTTGAGGTGACTAAGAACTACTTACAAGGGAACCATCAATGATGTCATCTTAAAACCTTGTCTGAAAATTTGCTCATTTATAGATCATGTCAAGTAATACTTCCACGCAAATTTTAACTGCTAATACAAATTATATGTGTCTGAAAAATAATTCCCAAGTCTTGCAATTGATGGTTTTTGAAAAGTCATTCTTTCTCCAGGAGCAAGGCTTCACCAAACAATTGCTTGCTTGCATCCTCTGCTTGAACGGTGTATGCAAGTACAGTAGATTCCTGTTATTTGGAGGAGCCATTTATTTGGGACAAGTCTTAAAGAACAAACCTTAACTCTTTACATGGAACTTTGCATAATTGGGGCAGCCGCTTAATTAGGCCAAGGTATTCTAGTCCCGATGTGTCCCAATTAACTGGATTCCACTGTATCCCTTCACTCTTTGGTTTGCTCCATGATAGCGTATAAAATTGCAGGTTCATAGCATGCTACCGACAAATTCACGCTTTGACATTTCTCCCCCACCCCCCAGAAAATTTGTATTGTCAGCTAAAAATGACAAGGAAGTTTTACTTGGTGTGATCTATAAACAAGAACAATTTTGAATGAGGTTTTCACATGACAAAATTAACATTTCCCTATTAGAAGACAGTTTCGTGAACTGTTTAGTTTTATAATGTTAAAAAAAATTAATATTGCTTTCAAACATATTTAGATTTTTATATTGTAGGTTACATATGTCTGACTGAACCTGAAACTAACTAACTAACTAACTAGATGGCTTACCGAACCCGAAGGTTCATCACCGAATTAACCAGAGCCCTCCACCGGACCCTGTCCTGGGCCAACAAAATGCAGTTTCCTTCAACTCCTATCTCCCATAGATCCCGCCTGAGATTATCCTCCCATCTATGTCTAGGTCTCCCCCAGCGGTCTCTTCCCTTCAGGTTTCCCAACCAGTACCCGGTGCACACATCTTGTCCCATCCATGCGCGCTACATGCCCAGCCCATCTCATTCTTCACGACTTAATGACCCTGACAATACTGGGGGAGGAGTACAGATTTTTAAGCTCGTCATTGTGCAGTTTTCTCCATGCCCCATCGTCTTCCCTCTTAGGCCCAAATATCTTCCTCAACACCCTATTCTCAAACACCTGCAATCTGTGTTCCTCTCTCTGAGTGAGAGACCATGTTCCGCACCCATACAAAACAACAGGCAAGATTATTGTTTTGTATACTGTAATCTTCAGGTTCTTAGAAATCAGACAGGAAGACAAAATATTTTGAACTGAGAAGTAGCAAGTATTTCCGGAATTTAGTCTCCTCCTAACTTCCTCATGAGTATCATTTTGATTTGTTATTGTTCCCAAATATTTGAACTTTGTGACACTTCCAAAGGATTTATTAGCCACCCTAAGATAATTCTGCCGCCTGTCTTCTGATGACGAGATACTAACATGTACTTAGTTTTTTCTGAATTTCCTTCTAGCCCCACCTGTCTACTAGCCTCTAGTAAAACCTGCATTCCTCTTGTATTTATATTGTCAGCCAATAAATTAACATCATCAGCATATGCCAATAGCTGATGTGTCCCATTCAATTGCAAACCCTCCTGCCTATCTTGGACTTTCCTGATAGCATATTCTAGCGCAAAGTTAAAGAGCAACGGATACAAAGCATCTCCTTGTTTTAGATCGTTCTTGATGAAGAACGTCTCAGATACATATTTACCTACTTGAATTTTGCTACAGGTTTCATTTAAGCACATTCCTATTAGTTTCACTAGCTTTTTTGACTGAACCTGAAATCATTTATTTATTTATATATATATTTATTGTGTTACAAATTAATGCATATGTGGTTCAATTTCCTTACTTGATATTAAGTAATTTTGAAAAATGTATCTTATCTTATCTTATGAAACTTATATCATGTTTTTAATTAGATGTACATATTTTGTCTCTCTGATCTTGATTATGTGAATAGGTTATTATTTAAATGACTGAAACAAAATAGTCTCATTAGTATCCTTTTTAAAAATGGAAGCTAATTTGTCATGTAAACTGACTCACTTTGCAGTTTAATATGTTTCATAAAGATCCAGTTGTACTGAACAGTGTGCAAGAGAAAAACTAGGAATGTTTTCTTTGGCTGGAACATTCCAGAATTGTTTATGTACAAAATATAATGTTGAAATTTCAGAATGCAGTCTGTGACTGCAGATAATTTATTAAAGAAAAAGTAACATAACTTTCTATAAGAAGATTTAATTAAAGCTTTAGGTATTTATGACTTTAAAATTTTTGATGTCAGTTTAAGACTTTAAATTTCTATGGAACCAGAGTGCAATACAGTTTTCTCTCTTGTCAGTGTGGAATGAATTTCCAAGAATTCGATGACTGTCCCTGTCTCTCTCAGCAGTGATTGATGTGATGAGTGTTGCATGAACTCCTAGGGCCCGTTATCCTGAGAAGTGACTGTATGTATATTTGCTAGTGTGCGCATGAACATATGCATGTATGTGTGTATGCACTAATGAACAGCTGTCACTCATCACATCAATTCCTTATGATTCAGTCTCCAAAACATTGGAAATTCATTGCGTGCTGACATAACTTATTATCTGAGAAGACTATTGCATTTGTTGTCAGTGTTAATTCTTCAAGGTCTGTATTTTTTGGCTTGTTTGCACATAGATTGTATAAAGATGCCATTTGAGCGGGTCCCTTCTGAAACCAGGTGATTATCATGAGATCACACTAAATAGGACACTGCACTTTATTGCTATAATGAATTACTAGCAGATTAGGATTACAGAGATGCACAAAAGATCAGTCTGTGGTCACGGTGCAAGGGTTGCTTCAGTGCCTGCCCCATTTATGTACATACAAAACTTGTATAATCAAATCTTATTATAGGGTTCTTGCATAATAAACTAGTATAATGAATGTATCAATGGTCTGTGCGTTCTGCAAAGTACTAGAATGTTTAAGTGAGTATGGAGAAAATGATGAGAAACTTCATGCAAAGTAGATGATGTCCCAGCTGAGATTCAAACCAGGTACTTCCAAGATAAGAGGAGTACTAATGCTGAACTAGCCTTTTATATTTACAAATTGCTTCTTAGGAGAAATGAACAAAACTGTAAATTTATATAAATACATATTTCTGTTAATGTGTACCTGGATTTAATTTTGAGGGGTCAGAATTCATTTTTAATGCAGTTAGGTTTTATAAGTAGAAGAAATACTGTGTTCAAACTTGTAATTATTCTGTTAATGGAGGTGAAATGATTCACATACATTTACTGTACGTTTATTTTATGTTCTGACACATGCAATACATTAACATATGGTGAACTTTTGTGCTGATGTCTCAGTCTACTACTGCTCCAAACACAGCTGGAAGCCCAAGAAAAGCTTCGAAACATGTGTCCTTTGGTTCATTACCTACAATGAGAAGTTCTACCCCAGATCCAATGGAATCTCGTAAGTCTAGGTAATTATTTTTTCATTATTATGCTGAAAGATAAAATATCACCTACAAAAGTGAGTAGTAACTGTGTCTGCCTAATATTCAGATATCTCATATAGCATAATCTTTTTAAATTTTTTTCACTACCTGTGATTTATTTTGAAGTGTGTTATATGCGAATACTTGACTTCAAATTTTCGAATCCAAAAGTAAGAGTGCATGTTACACACTTACACTTGTTATACACAAGTAAGTACCGTATCTCCTCTTCTCCCACCTACGTACATGTCTTGCGTTTGATGTAGAATGTAAAATTTCGCGTTTCTTTTTGTTTATATACAGTTCTCCCAGTGACAGTCATGTTCATCATTATTCAAAACATCTGTCACTTTTTTGTGTCACTGAACTTGCAGAATAATTTACATCCCATTGATATGAAATTTGTTTCCAGTATTCTTGAAGCAAAATTGCATGCCAGTGTAAGGTTATGAGAAAATGATTAAAATGTCTTCCTGTTGTAAACTAGAAGAACAATTCACAGAGTATATGTGATTTGAGGACAGCCATGGTTTTATAAAATTTTATTTATGTATCTCTTGACTTATTTCTTAAGGTTCTTTATATTGTGTTGTTTTCCTTTCTGTGTCGGTATTTCTAAAATAAGAAATACTACACCGCAAATAATTAAAGCTACTTACAACCGTTTTCAATTCTATGATAATCTGTTATCTTAATGTGCTGTGTCTGTGAATGGTGTTGTTTTCAGTGTATTATTTTAAACATTAAAATTAAATCTTGGATTTTCTTTCTTAGCTCATTTCTTTTTACGTATGATCTTGTGTTCTGGCAATTACTACTTAGTTGTCAGCAAACAGTAAACAGTTTGTTCTTGTATTATTAATACTAAAGTTTCTCTGCCATTAATTTATGGCTTCATAAATATAAATAAACTGCCACGGTGGTCTAGCGGTTAGAACGCTGGCCTTGCAATCCTGGGGTCTCGGGTTCGATCCCCGCGGTGCCCAAATTTATAACTTGGGCAAGGCCGTGGTCTAGGCAACACGGAGTTTTCCTCCGGGGGCTTCCCCGGTTTCTCCGTGGCATCCCAACAATTACTCCATTCACACACAGAAGAAGGCAATGGCAAACCACTCCTGGATCATCTGCCAAGAACGTATATGAACAGGTACCAGTCGGATGGAAGGATCCTGTTCATATGGACCTGTCGTCAGACAGAACACTAAATAAATAGATAATAAAATATAAATACAGTATTAAATGAAGGTGACAGAGGGCAGTACCATCATAATTATTTTTTTTGTATTTCAAACTTTGAATGGTGTATTAAATTTTTCAGAAATCCATTGATGTTTAATATTTCTTGCATGTTCAGTACCATGTTGATTTCTACATTAAATTTAGGTAATTATCTGTTGAATTATAAAGGTACTGTCTGTTGTTGATTGTCCTTCCTGAAACACATATTGTTTCTCTGATTGTTACCGCAGTATCTTAAATGCTTTGTGATTGAATCTTAGCATATATTTTATAGCATGGTCCTAATAGACTGACTTTTCTGTAAATGTTAAAATGTAATAATTGGTCTCCATTTTTTACATGTAGTATGAACAGGGGAGCTCAGCTGTTATTGAATACGCCACATACTTCAGTAGAGAAGAGTGGTCCACCAACCAGAGGTTTGTTTGACACCTTGACATCACCAACTGAGTTTCATACTCCAACAAGTAATCCTGATTCATCCTTCCACCAAATGTAAGTATCATCTTTTATTACATACAAATGGAGAAGAATAAAGTTGACAATTATTCGTAGAATTTTCTTTACAATGAATTTCTGGAAATTGTTAAAATTTATTCATTGCAGCAAATTTCTGATATGCATTGAAATTGTTTTAAATTATTAAGCGAGATTTTTTATCAGAAGGGGACATATACAGTCACGCTCCATTCCTTATGTCTTGTATTCATGTAATTTTTATGCAGAACATAACCTAAAAAACTAGACTGGAAAAGGGGAGGGGGAGAATGTGCTGTGTGTATTGAGTGGTAATAAGAAATGCAGTGATGTATGAGGTGAGTAAAATTGATTACATGCATATCTGATGTGTGTAGGTAAGTAATCAGTAATGGGCCAAAAATGTCATAATGATTACAGGTTAGGTTTTCACACAAGACTAGAGTATTCTTTGTTGGAAAATAATAGACATGGAAATAATTATCATTGTTTTCACAACTATTTTTTAATTATTAATGTTTATAAATTACCTTTTCGTTTGATGTGTGCATTATAACAACTCATTCTTGATAAGCTGGTAACCTAACCAAGAGACTAAAATACACCTTATTGTTTTTATAACCTTAATTTGCTTTCATGCATAGAACTTTAGCTTATTTATGATTGTGATATATATAAATGTGATTGTAAGATGTCAATATAAGCATACCATTTTAGGTTTAAGTTAAACATGGTGCTCAAAAAGTCATGCAATCCATTTGTGTTCTGATTGTCAAAGAATAAGTTGTACTGAAATAAGAGAACAAAAAACTATATATTATGTGTTGGAAATGTCCACCGTGTTCGGCAATGCATGCATTTACTGAAGAAATGCTGTTACTGGGAGCAACAGTAATAATCACCCATATGTGGTTTATCATCTTTAAATTTTTTTTCCTTTAGAGTGTTACAATGTGGAATTAGAACAACAATGTTATCTCAGTTTTTCTGAGTTTCTATAAAATGTGGCTTAGTCCACTGTTGCTCCGGTGTCTTCAATTGTGAACTGCCTTTCTTAATCTTAATAAAATACAGTGTTCAAAACTGTTTTCCTGTGCACAACAGAAAACTGTTCCATTTTGTTGTTATTTATTTTATACTTTTGAAGTGAATAGGTAACATCATAGTTGCCAAATAAATTACTTTAATGCTGTGGAATGATTAAAAGCAAATTGTAAGAGGACAGTACAAAGAGTTATGCAAGGAGCCCAGAACAGTACTGTAGGATATGAAAAATCTGCTTGGGCCTTTATATATCAGTTTAAAACTTAATACTAACAGGGAGTTTGGTGGGTGTTCAACTGTGTTTGAATACTGTAATTACTCATTATTGGAGGTTCAAATTTAGGCATTCCAGTTACTTTCCTTCTTAACAGTATATGAAGCAGATTTGTAATCTAAAAATAGAATTCACACTTTTATATCTTTTAGTTTGTTTACCTTTGTGCTGTACATTTGTATTGGAAATATACACGATGTGAGGTTAACTGTACATTAGTTCACCTTTAATTAATGGTAATAAAAAGGATTTCCTGTTTTTCAGAAGCAGCTTGTCAGAGATGTCACATCATGATACCACATGGACGGAAATAGAGGAAGCACAAAATACTTGGGTTACTGTATTTGGTTTCCCTCCTTCTGCGGCGTCGTATATTCTGTCTCAGTTTTCGCACTATGGCAAGATATTGGAGAAAAGAATGCCAGCTAAAGGAAACTGGATGCACATACGCTACCAAACCAAGCTTGAAAGTCGGAAAGCTCTCAGTAACAGTGGAAAAGTGTTTGGTGGAACAATCATGATAGGCGTAATGTTATGTAAAGATCAGGTAAAAAGCATTTATAAGTATATGTTGCATAAGTACAGGCATACCTCAGAGATATTGCCGGTTCGGTTGCAGACCACCGCAATAAAGCGAGTCACACAAATGTTTCGGTTTCCCAGTGCATATAAAAGTTATGTTTACTCTATACTGTAGTCTATTAAGTGTGCAATAGCATTATGTCTAAAAAAATGCAAGAACATTTTGAGAATTACCAAAATTTGACACAGAGACACGAAGTGAGCACATGCTGTTGGAAAAATGGCGCCGACAGACTTGCTTGATGCAGGGTTGCCACAAACCTTCAATTTGTGAAAAACGCAATATTTGCGAAGCGAAATAAAATGAGGCATGCCTGTATACAGGTGTCCCGCAGCGAGGATGTCCATAGCTTAACTCAGGATCATTTTGAGTTGAAAAGTTAAAAATGGGTCCAATCTGCAATGGTTTGTCAAGAAAATGATAATGAGCATTTTATTGCATTTGTAACTTTTACATTGTTTCCATTTAATTTTAGGTTACATTATTGTTGTTATTAAAATTGCATTTTTAATTATGTTACTTACATGACTCTAATGGCCACCCTGATTGTCAATGCACAGTTTAGCCCTTTGTGTAATTGAAGTAACAGCCCTCTTCATAGAGTCTTGATCATTTTTTATGTTAACACCAGAGTTCATTATACGATTCAGGAAATCAGCCCTACTGTTTGACTTGACACCAGGGATTTCATGTGACCCCCAGGGAAAGTAGTCTAAGGGCAAAAGATCTGGTGATCTTGCTGGCCGAGCAATCGACCACCTCAGACAACGGTCTGGAAACTGTTGATTCAAAAATTCAGTCACCTGCCTACCAAAATGAGGGGGGTGCACCATCTTGTTGCAGTCACATCTCTTGCCTGGTTAGCAGAGGAACGTCTACCGACATCAAGACACTCCACTCTTTCTTTTGAAATTGCAATTTTATTTTGCGCTTTCTTCGCTGTTACTTAATGACTCTGTAAAGTGTAGTACTTCCATTTCATCAATGGTAACTCAGGTGGTAGTTTGTTTATTTGTGATGCTGCTGACCCGCGTTCCATTCCCAAGCAGGTTTTTATTTCGGCTTTTACTTACCATGTATATCGTGGCTATGGGGGTCATCAAACTAAATTTATTTTTAAGTCTTTGTATTTATTTTCTTTCTTCCTTTGTTGATATTCGAAACCAAAAAGAGGGCTGTTGGTTTCTCACCGTGTTATGATCAAAATTACATTATTATAATTTAAAAACTTTTCAGAATGTTTCGCTGGATGTTTGTCCGCGGCTTTCTGTGTTGTGCTGTCCTGTGTACAGGTAGAGGCCTTGTGACGGGCCAATCCCTCGTCCAAGTAGTCCTACCGACTGTCTAATAGATCAAAGCCAATGAAAGTTGGGACCCGCAGATGCTCAAGGCACTGAAGAGCAGGTCATATAAAATAAAATAATAATAAAGCGCGGCTGGGGTGTGATGCTGACCACTCACCTCCATCTAGTGCTGAGGTCAAGAATGATCAGGAGCTATACCACTTCTCCTCCCAAGCGCCTGCATGGCAAAAAAGTGGGACAGTTTTACTTTTACTTTTCAGTTGTTCATGAACCTTTTATTGATTATTATTACAATGACTGAACCACCAGGATAATGCAGTTCCCTGATAAATGCAGGTGTAATCTAGCACTAATTTACTTGTATTTTAATTTAAAGTATTTGAATAAGTTGTGAACTATTCAAATGTGATGTTCCTATTGCTTTTTCAAACAGGAGATTTTAAATGACATCCGAAACAAAGAAAATGCTCCATATCAGAGAATGTCATTTGTGGAGTCCACCAGTAGCACTTCTGGTACACGAGGCATGCCAAACCAGTCAATATCTTCACCTGCTTCTTTCACTGGAACACCTAATCGATTAGGTACACCCAATTTATCATATTCTGGTACTCCAGACAGCAAACTTGCCAACATCCGACCATTAGGGCAAGCGTACAGAATGGCTCAGGCAGACAGTGAGGTAATGTATGAACAGTGAGCACGGATTCTCAAAATCATGTATCTCTTAGTGCAATTTTTAGCTGAATAAATGAGTAAGGTTAACAAACTTCTAAGTCTATTCTTTCTTCAAGTATGTGATAATTTGTAATTATAATCTGGCATTAAATTGTATCATATATTGGCCTGAAAAGTATAGAATATTAGTCTGTTAGTTTTTTTACATACTGGTATAAATTAATTCTGCAGATTTCTGCCACCTTCATCCCCCATTGTTTTACTTTATGACATACAGTAGCAGTTATACCAACAATTAATAGTAGGCATGTTCTAGAATTACTGTTTCAGTTTGAGATACAAATTTGGAGAAACTTTGAGTGTTAAGATGAGAATGAAAATTTTCACTACTAGGCCAGTCTTCTCATTGTAATCGTAATTTATGACACTAACCATTTCTTCATAGTTCACCAAAGTGTACTTCTTATCCCTTTTAATCTCTTCTTCTTCGTCGTACTGCCTCATGACTGAAGCTCCGTAACCTCGAATTGCAGGACCCGACTAATCTCCTGCCGCCATTCTTCCCTATCCAGTGCTTTTGTAGTGGCGTCTCGGAGCGGATTTAATATCAGATACTTTATCAGCAGGTCATATAAAATAAAATAATAATAAAGCGCGGCTGGGGTGTGATGCTGACCACTCACCTCCATCTAGTGCTGAGGTCAAGAATGATCAGGAGCTATACCACTTCTCCTCCCAAGCGCCTGCATGGCAAAAAAGTGGGACAGTTTTACTTTTACTTTTCAGTTGTTCATGAACCTTTTATTGATTATTATTACAATGACTGAACCACCAGGATAATGCAGTTCCCTGATAAATGCAGGTGTAATCTAGCACTAATTTACTTGTATTTTAATTTAAAGTATTTGAATAAGTTGTGAACTATTCAAATGTGATGTTCCTATTGCTTTTTCAAACAGGAGATTTTAAATGACATCCGAAACAAAGAAAATGCTCCATATCAGAGAATGTCATTTGTGGAGTCCACCAGTAGCACTTCTGGTACACGAGGCATGCCAAACCAGTCAATATCTTCACCTGCTTCTTTCACTGGAACACCTAATCGATTAGGTACACCCAATTTATCATATTCTGGTACTCCAGACAGCAAACTTGCCAACATCCGACCATTAGGGCAAGCGTACAGAATGGCTCAGGCAGACAGTGAGGTAATGTATGAACAGTGAGCACGGATTCTCAAAATCATGTATCTCTTAGTGCAATTTTTAGCTGAATAAATGAGTAAGGTTAACAAACTTCTAAGTCTATTCTTTCTTCAAGTATGTGATAATTTGTAATTATAATCTGGCATTAAATTGTATCATATATTGGCCTGAAAAGTATAGAATATTAGTCTGTTAGTTTTTTTACATACTGGTATAAATTAATTCTGCAGACTTCTGCCACCTTCATCCCCCATTGTTTTACTTTATGACATACAGTAGCAGTTATACCAACAATTAATAGTAGGCATGTTCTAGAATTACTGTTTCAGTTTGAGATACAAATTTGGAGAAACTTTGAGTGTTAAGATGAGAATGAAAATTTTCACTACTAGGCCAGTCTTCTCATTGTAATCGTAATTTATGACACTAACCATTTCTTCATAGTTCACCAAAGTGTACTTCTTATCCCTTTTAATCTCTTCTTCTTCGTCGTACTGCCTCATGACTGAAGCTCCGTAACCTCGAATTGCAGGACCCGACTAATCTCCTGCCGCCATTCTTCCCTATCCAGTGCTTTTGTAGTGGCGTCTCGGAGCGGATTTAATATCAGATACTTTATCAGTGAAAAATGCCTATTAAAAATAACTTCTAGGGCCATGTCCTTTCTGATTGTCAATACAAATTCATGTCAAATTTTATTTATGGGAGAAAAATTTAAGTTGAAGTATGTGGTAGAAAAACTATGTTCACCTTTTTAACCTTGTGTATACCAGAATTTCAAGATACAGTGGAGCCCCCAATTTATACTTTTCTGGGTTTGATGAAGAATTGTGTAAATTGCAGAATATGGAAAAATTATTTCTTTATCCCTTCATTTTAATGCTCAGCAAATAATATAGGTAAATTACTAAGCAATGTATGTACATGATGAAAGACTCTCGGGCTACCAGCTGCGTCCAGTGGCTGAATGGTGAATAAACCATATCCTCTAGGAACATTTCAAGAGCCGTCTCTGCTCTGACCCTCAGGACAGCTGCGTAACAGTCTAATTCTCTGTAGCGAGCTCGCAGATGGGAACTGGTGGTGGACGGCAGGTAGTAGCATGGTGTTGTTGATGGCCCGTCCATTGCTTTGTTTTGCGCTGACCAATAGGAACCGGTTCCTATTCATATTTGCACCTTTGCAGGTCATTTCAAAACCATTATTCTTGCTTGTGTCTTTCCAGCACTTTATTTTGTAGTTTTATCCAGTTTGTGTCCTCCTTACCTTACCTGGCACATGTATAGTCACCACATTTTTGTCCTCATAATGGGCTATTTCAACATGAAATTTAATCGTAGCTTGGTCCTTGGTCTGTCAAGTATATACAGCAGAGCCCTTTGTCCCAGAACTGAACCTTACTGATATTGAAATTGCCATTCGAAAATTAAAACTTCATAAATCTCCAGGTATCGACTCAATTCCTGATGGGTTTTTTGATTTAAGAGAATGTATAACATTTTATATCTCATTTTCATTTCAGGCTGGAGTTAGAAGTTAGAGAAAATTTAAAACAGAGTGCTTTTCAGGGTGATAAGTAGATGGAAACTGTGATTATCTGGCAAGAATCATAAAAGGAATCGTTAATGCACATTGATTTCATAAAAGAAATTTCAAACTTTTTTTATTCATTTTACATATTATACTAAATTGATTTTTCCCTTGGCTAGAAATTACATGCATAGACTATATTAAAAGAGCAGTAATATTTTAATCTGATACTGAGGTGGCAGTCAGTTGGGTTGAGTTTCATATTAAGGTTGTCTGGAATAATTATGGCAGAGTGGTAACCACCTTCAGGTGTATATTAAGCTATAAATATACTTTCATAGTCCTTTCATAATATTAGAAGCTGCAGAAAGCATGAAGTTGTGACAAAATTATTGTACTCTATATTTCTGTGATAACATATGTTTGTGTATACAGGATAGATATTCAGTTCCTTCAAGGTTATACTGCACAGTCCTGCAAAACTAATACAGCTTCTTACTCAGAAATATAAATATTTCATGCCACGGCAGGTATTCAAATTGGCGACCTTTGTTTGTTTATTTATTTATTTTGTCACCCTATATGTTATTCTATATTGTCATTTCTGAATATGTCTGTACTCCATTACAATGCTTTTACAAAGGCAATATACAATCAAACCAGCAACTGGCTCTTCGTTGGTTCATGCGCAACATACACTGCAGTAGGACCATGTTTCTGTTTCTGGCGCTTGAACAAAGATCAATATGAGACTTTAGTAGTTTGTGCAGGGCTGCATAACAAAAAAATATGAAATATGAACATTCACTGTCTTTCTTTGTTGTCTAGGTTTGTAAGACAGGATACAGTCCACCACAAGGCTCGTTTCTTGCATTCTTTTTATAAAGATAATATACTTAAAATTGTTTTAAATTATTATATTCTTTTACCCTACTACCTGATTTGTGTTTATTTTCAGGTGCTTGCACAAACTAATATACCACGAAGGAGTACGAGCATGGTTTCTAAAGCAATGGAGTACGTGTTTGGTTGGTGATATTTTATATCACCACGAAGCATTTATATAATGGACTGTATGCCTACTAAGGAAGTGTACTACTACTGCTTTGTGCTGTACATCATATCTAAATTCCTGTTGATATTTGGCATTTTAGTTATATGACATAAAAACAGATTGACACACTTTATGAGTTGGATAATGTTTGCTATATTTGTGTATACAGTGCACGAAAGAAAAAAAGCAATCCTGTTTTTGAAAAAATCTGTTGTGAGATATGAGTCTGTAAAGAGGAATTTCCTTACTTTCCAAACTGGTATCATATATGGATCCCTCAAATTTCAATACTGTGCAAGATTTCAGGATCTCAGAAGATTACTGCCTCATTGCCTTAATAATGGAGGCAATAAGATCCTCTGAAACACTGGTCAAAACCTGCCATACTACATGGCAGAGTCGCCCTCAGTGGACTAGTGGATAGCGTGCTCTCTACTGGAACCAAGGTTCGCGGGTTCAATCCTAGCCGAGGTCTATGGATTTTTAAGGGTGATAAAAATTTGTAGCACAACTTCCTTCAGAGGGGAAGTAAAGCCGGCAGTCCCATGTTGTAGATTTATGTCATGTATAAGAACCTTACGAGCATGATACAAGATGTTTTGTAAGCAAAATTCAGTGGTCATTTCTCACCCAAGTCTCCTGATTAACTGCTAGATGGCTCTGGCAGTCAAATCAGGATTGAGTAGAAATTGTGCAGAGTCAGTGGGCTGGTCACTCACTACTCATAAAAGCACACTTTAAGACCAAGAAACATCCAAAAAAGGAGGCGGCAAAAACCCACAACTAGGTTGTAGAGCCAAGAAAAAACAACTACATGGCAGAATATCCCAGAAGACAGCCATCTTCACCCCAAGTCAGCACGTCTATTTATGGCAGGTATGGAAAAGGTTACTTTGGTTTAATTTATTGTATAGTCACGTACTTGAAGTACTTATCATCGGAACAATCATTAAACTATCTTGTATAGGCATACTTGTTGCTGTAGTGGGCAGCTGAAAGTCTTAGTTATTTACTATCCACAGTCTGATGTTCATGACCACAAGCCATCACTTCAGGTGTTGCTGCACTGTACTGAGTAAGCCACTGCACTCGCCTGTTGGCGTGGTCCTTGCATATGGCTCTCTAGTGCATGCTGCACACACATAGGGTTGAAGATTTCCGTCTTCTGGGTCGTCGTGCTGTGTAGTCTGGTAGATGTCCAGACTACGCGGCGCAACAACCCAGAAGACGGCAATCTTCAGACACTCAGCCGTGAAAACCTCAAATCCTACATACATAGGGTTCAATGCCTTGTTTGTGTCCATGTCTCAGGCAGCATGATGGACTATCTAGATATCACATCATCATATTAGGTCTTCAGGACTAACTAGACTTATACTGCATAGTTGTTAGTGCTACATGTCAAACTTTGGACTGTCATTATTTAGTCTTTCATCAGACTAAATACATTTCTGTTCAGTGCATTTTGATGGTGCTGAGTACAGTAAGGTTATTCTGATTTAAACTAGTTAATTTAACAAGCAATATACTCTGGAACCCTATCACTGAAAGATTAATATTCATAAGAAACAAAATCCAGACACTGAGTAAGACAGTATAGAGTACATCTTTTCTTCTTCTTTTATCAGAACCGATGTTCAGTTTCAGTTATTAATGTACAAGTTTTCCTACACAAGTACAATCTTTCATTCATATAAAAGGAGTGAATTTGTGTTTTCAGAATTAAAACTTCATTTGTCAAAGCTACAATCTTCACATAATAAAAACCATGAAATATATTGCATTTACATTAAATATCACTTGGCAGTCTACAAATTAAATAAGCTGATATCTATATCATCCTACACGTATCGCAGATGCAGATTATATAAGTAAAAACATTCAAAACCTGAATAAAATGTTTGGGTGTCATATGTATTTTTGATACATTCCTCTCAAGGGAATTTACTACTAGTATCTTAAGGTTCATCATAAAAATGCTTACGGTAGTCATTTAAATATAATCTTCTGATATCGTGTCTTTCAGTGATATTTTAAAACACATTTTCTTTAATTTTCTGATCATCTGAGAAACATTACCGATGTGATGCTTACTACTGTATGAGATTTGGGGTTCTTATAGTGGTGAAGATGTTGATGGTGATTTTGATTGTAATACTGTGTGGACTTGTATGTAAGTACATTTTTGTGGAACATACTGTCTCCATCTTCAGTTAAGTGTAGATAATACTGTTCACCTTCAGTTTAGTATGCACAGGATTATGATTAATTAAACACAATCTGTCCAAAATGTTTTTATTTCCTTATTAGTCTGTATGCCAAGCCACTACTTTAATGAACAACTGCACTTGGAAATATATTTACTTCAGTACTTAAATAGTTCATATTCACACACTGTAACAAACTACTGTTACAAATACAGTTTATCAGAATTATGCCAAATTTTAACTAAAACTGTAACTGTCTAAATTTTATTTCATATTGCAAACAAAATTTTAATGTTATGTCATAGATCCACTTATATGTGAGAAAGTGTATTTTTGCTACAGATCCAAATCATTAGATTCAGAAGTTGTTAATACATCCCACTTCATCAGAATCTGTAACTGCAACATGAAACTGTCTTAAGAGCATAAATTTGGGGTGTCATGGAAACTGACGCACCAGAATCAAAATCAGTTATTCTGAAAGGGCTGCCAGAATTAATTTTAATGAAAATACATTTAACCTAAGGGGAATATTTTATGAATATAGACAGTGACAGATGGGACTTTATAAAGATCGAAACTTAAATTTACTCTAACATGTATCTACTTTTACTTTTCTTTAAAACTACTGTGAGTAGATCTTCAAACAAACTGTTGGCAACACACATGCTAACCATAATTTCCAGACAATATGTAAGAAAAATGAGAAGAATAAGGACCTGTTTATTGTGTACTGGTATACAAGGATTCTTTTTATGATTTTTAAATTTGTGAATATGTGCTGGTTTGGTGAAATTCTTGGGAGCCAGTGAAGACTACGTATGGTTAGTGGTTTACCTGGTATGAATAACAAATTAAATATTAAAACCGTTAATAACAAATAATTTTATAGCTATGACAATTATGTCAGCACATCATTAACTATGAGTCTCCAGCGAAGTTCTCTGCTAGAAAGAGCAACTTGGAAGCCAAAACAGTCACATAAGAAACACACAAATCTTGTAAGTCTGAAACTCAACACCTATTTTTTTATACAGCAGTTTGTCATACTCCTAACTTTGTGCCTAAATCTGTCAGTGTTAAATGTTTTTCTTTCCTTCCGTTACATAAGTGTGTGTGTGACTTCACAACCCCCCCCCAAATCTCTGAAGTGGAGTACTAAAGAGACTAACATATATTGAGAAATCAACATTAAAGATGATTATATGGTGTTTATACTTAGAGCTGTACTGCTTACATGAAATGTTCACTGAAATCAGCATTTTCATAGCAAAGATCAAACAAGTACTGCAGTTTCAAACTGACCATTTCTACTGTCCTTGGTAATAAGTAGAAGTATCCATAGGTTCCTCACTGGGAAGAACCTGTTGTCATTTAGGGCTGTCAATTACAGCATTAGCAAGTTTTGACATCTTTGGGTATTTAATCTTCTTCTTATCAAGCTCATCTTGGGCCCACAGAATTAGTTTCAGCAGATTTGACAACTTTGGTGTAGTTGATTCACGATTTTCCATCTTTAGAATTGCTGCATTTAGTTCACTAGCCACCTGTAAACACCATTTAAACTGGCGAATTCATACGCTTTCACACAAAATGTGGCCATTTGATTTTTTTTCCCCCAACATCAATAAGCACAGAATAAATACTGTAGTTCTTCATACTCAGTTAAAATATTTTAATGTGATAAATCATAAAATTGTGGGAATAATCCATAAATCATAATCACTGACTTCTCTACAATACCTTACTCATTGGTTTTAGTTTAATATAAACTGCATGTCTGTGTTCGTGAACAAACTACTTTTGCACTTAAAATTATTCATTGTCAGGACTTTTCCATCATCTTTGCTTTAAAAACCCACGACGTTTCAGAGACTGCTTCTGTCTCCATCTTCAGGTGAGAGGTACCTACTATGTTGGGTCCCTTAGAGACTACTTTTGTTTTGTTACATTCCTACAAGCCTACATAAGCTCAGAATACCATATTCTTGTATATAAATTCATTTCAATAAAAGTAAATATTAACCTTTTGTCGATGCGTAGGATGCAGCAGGTCCCTGAATGGACATTTTTTTGGTTCTTCAAACGCTAGCAAGGCCAAAGTTCGCTCCAGTTCATTCAGAACAGTTGGATCTGATTCACCAGCTTCAGACAATTGTTCTTGTGCAAAATGTAAGGCTTCCTCTATTTCCCCACTGCGAATTAACTCTATTAAATGTAACTGCTGTGAAAATAAAGAAGTAAGATTTAATATATTATGAACTCTAATCTGTATCATTTGAACAGGACAAATGCAAAAGGGGTTCAGGCACATTGAGTACATAGGTTTTATATATATATAAAAGCATCACATATGGTAGGAAATTGTCTGTTGGTTAAGTATTGTCCGCGAGGCACGAGAGTAGTAGTGGCCTTGTCAGCCGTTGCTTGTGTGGCAGGGGGAAAGTTCTGGTGATGTATTCCTTACCTAAGAACATTGTGCTATCAGTCAGTCAGTACATTAGCTCACGACGTACGGCCTGTATAAGCTGCGGGTGTTTTTCTGTCCACTAGTAGCACAGAATTCTACCCCACCTCCCTCAAAGATGTCAGGTCTACTCTCGTGCCTCGCGGACAGTAGTGTAGCCATGTCAAACACAGTGCAAGTGAGGTAATGTACACATACCTAGCCACCATACTGTATAAAGACTTACAAATTCTTTTCCTGCAGTCATAGGTCTGCTAGAATGATCACTGTTCCAAGAACCTTACAAATCTACTGTAGGACAGGAAGCTATTTTAAAGTTTGTGGTTTTAAAAAATTATTTTGATATTTAAGTCATGTTAATTTGATACATTAAAATGAATATACTTTTCCTACAATCTAGCATTGTGGACACAATTAAAATACTTAAGCTTAAGGTTTTTCATGAGCTGGGATAGCTCATAAATATACTGTCCATGGACTGAACATCCAGGGTTTGATATCTGCAGGGGTATAGGGACTGAGGATTTTTCTTCTAGCCTCTGCATCCAGACTGCTTCTACAGACCACCAAGCCAACGGGAACTGGGGTTTCTTGGAGTCCTGTCCTGGGGATGAAGCACAGCCAAGAAGTGACACTGATCACTCGCCACCATTTAGTTATCTAGTTCTGAGATAAATAATGAGTAGGAGCTATACCTCCTCTCTCCCAAAGTTCCTACATGTGGTGTGTAGTAAGACAGCTTTACTTTTACTTAAGTTTGTTCATTGCCCTCCCCCAATACAGATTTCTTTGAAGTGTTTTATAATTTCACTGAATGTGCATAAGATAGTATGACAATAAAATCTGCTAAGGAAGTAAAAATGTCTTCACAACACCTGTTGACTGTAAACAGTTTTCTTACACATGTTGTGATGCAGAAAAAATATCCTGTTACTACCAGAAAATGGCACTTTCAGTCCATTTTACATCAATGTTATGGTATCACCTTGTCCATGTCTGCTGCCCTCTTCCAATTAACTACTGAACCAACTGATTGCCATGAAACTTTGTATAAACATCATGCCACCAGATGTCATCCCATTTCTACATTTTTAATTTCCTAACACCGACATATTTGCCAGGCAAACTTCGTAAACAACACAAGTGCCACATTAACCTTTATCTTACTAGCGTTCCCGGTCTGGGACGTAAGTTGTGTACTCAGCCCTATGAACGTTCCCGGAGCGGAACTCAAAACTTGCAACATTGTAAGTAGACTTGGCTATGTCTTTTGGCCTCTTTTAGGGGCTGCAAATATTGAATCACTTTCTCTAGGGTTTTTACAAGGCCAGCCTGAGAAGTCAACCTGGGAACTATAACCACAAACAGCAATAAACATTGTTATTGTCCAGTGGGTTTCGGCTTCATTTTCAGACCCCCTAATCAAAGCTACTCACATTCCTCGGCATATAACTGCACTTTTAAAAAACTTATGTATTCTCTGTTCTATTCGAATAAATATGGCTTTTATTTCGCCAATTTATCATGTTTACTTTAGATAATATTAAAGTTTTCCGTAGAGCGTGCACAAAAGTTTAAAAACCTGCAAAAAAAAACTCGTAGGGCTGCTACCACTTTGCCATTTAAATCCCCGTCCTTAAAAGGTTAATGTTTAGGCCTTTGATTTCTGTGTCGTAATAACTGAGAAAACAAACAGTCCCTGAGAATCAAATAGTTGCTTGCTGTTCAAGAAGTTCTGCCCTTTACAGAACCCATGGGTTTATTCTATATTCACTGAACTTATCCTAAGCCATTTAAATCCAGTATACATCATACATGTTCATGATCCATTTTAGTAGTATCTTCCCAAGTCTTCACTTCAAGTTTTACAGCTGCAGTATTGATATATATTCTTCCCTGCCGCCCACCCCCCCTCCAAATCTAAACAAAAATGTATTACCCTACAAACAAATATGTAGAAAATGACAAGTACACACAAAATTTTAGTTATAAAACCTGAAGTGCCACACACATAATTAATATTTATACAACAGTACTTCATATAGAACTTTTTTTGATTACCTGCATGTAATGATGCAAAATTTTGACATTACCATGTATCTCACAGATTTAACATAGCCAAAATATATCATGTTTTAATTTTGCACATAAATGGACCTTTAAGTTGTATATTTAATAAGTCAAAGTTCTTGTTGGCCTCATGATGTACATTAAAGCATTCAAAGAAATGTAGGCATGTAAGTTCCTTCTAGAATTTGTTTTTTTATGGAACAGGAAGCTAATGGAATGGATATGATGGTCTACAACTTGTATGTAAAACTAAAACACCGGTGTTTAAACGCTTTAAATCAATGGACTTTACAGAAATAAGTGAACACTGAAGTTGAGTAGGTACCAACTACATTACCTGTAAATGAAAATACAAATAACGATCATTGTCCAGCAATTCAGGATGAAGTTGGTTGACTAATGCAGTAGCTTCTTGGATACGTCCACTCTGAATTGCATCCCTTATTCTGATTCTGTCATCTAAGGAATCTAGCTCCATGGATGGACTAATCCCAGATTCCTGTTGAAACTTTTCTGCAGCTTCTTTGAAACCCTCTATTACATAAGAGCAGCTGTTATACATTTATGCAAGGCTACATGTTTTGTACTCTACGGTATATACATTTAAGCATTTGGTAATCTATCCACAGCTTTCCATTTGTATATAAAGTGCTTTGTATGCAATTAATTTTGTAATATGTAGGATTTGAGGTTTTCATGGTGGTGAGTCTGCAGATTTCTGTCTTCTGGGATGTTGCGCCATGTGGTCTGGTAGATGTTTACCGAAATTTCAGAGGCATCACAAGGACCTTTGAAACGTCAGTAAATTTCTATCAGACTAAACAGTGCAATGCAGTGAGGTATGACCTATCATAGCTTTCCCTGCACCAAACACTTTTACCATTCTTTCCATTTTACAATTATCACCAATTTAAAGAATGTACAACTATTACAAATGATGATGTACCACTGAATATCTATCAGTTATTATCACAGTAAACGTTTAGAACAGGCAGGTGTTACTGATGTGAGATCATGATTATGCCAGATGTAAAAGTAATACAGCTAATAAGTCATATACCTGCTGATATGATCAACATATTTCAATAAAAATCTTCAGAAAATTCATTTAACACATTAAAAACATTACAATATGTCTGAAGGAAAAGTCAAAGGCCAGTAATGAGCTGTGTCATAGCTCAGGCTGTTAGTCACCATCTTCTGCCTGAAGAGGCTTGGATTTGATGGTTTGATCCCAGGGCAGTCCATGCAGGATGTGGTGGGAAATGTGCTAACATCATCCCACTGCTGCTCCCTAATTGTGGCCACAGTTCCATAATGACATAGTCCCTCCTCCCCCTTCACAAATAAGGCCAGAAATTATAATTCCTTCCAAAAAGTTCTGAATTCTGGAATTTTGCAAGTAATTAGGCATAAGAAGGAAAGGGCATAACTTTAAAATATGGAGACCAACACTTTTACGCACAATTTGTGTTTGAACTTGTAATCACAAACCTAACCAAAATTCAGTGGCAAGTCAGTGTACTTCGTTGTGTTACAACAGGTATATGAAGAAGGTAGCAACAATTAATAAAACTTGAATTATGAAATGGTTTCAGATTGGTCACTAACCTGTAAAGTCATACAATGGAATCCAAAAGAAATCACAAATTTATTAATAAAGAATTTATGTCATATCCTATCTAGGAACTTCCATAACGTTGCTTACCAGTAACTAAATAATTCATTATCAGCTTGTTCATGTCAGCTCGTTGGATATGCAAACCTTCAAGCCGATTCATCCAGTCATCCTTCGAAATATTTTCGTGTTTCTCGGTATAACTCATGTTGTTTAGCTGTTTAAGATTGCAGTTGTACTACTTCCTGACTTACTTTTCGTTTTTGCATCTGAAAAGTAAAAGATATTCAAGTAATGAATAGCAGTCATTACTTCCTGACTTGCTTTTCGATTTTACATCTGAAATGAAAGAGATGTAATGAATAGCAGTCAAAGACATGAATTCATATTTTTTATATAATTAACTTGAACATCTGGGCTCACTTTACTTACTAGGGTAAATGCCAGACGCCAACAATTTATGAAGAAAAGTTGTATCACTAAATTTCAACACACTTACTCTTGTTTATTTCCATGTGACAGCCAATTGATATTTGATTCAGAAATTTATCTGTCATGATTACCAAATTTTACCTACCTTTTACCACATCAAGAAAATTATTCAATTCTTGAAGCCGTTCAAATAAAATCAAGTAGTGTATTTTAAATATTCCATACGGCATTTTATAGTTTATATACGCATATAACTGCAGTCAATAATATATATTTAAAATTTTAGTAAATAATAAATACCTCCACTTTAGGTAGGATATTCACACTGTCCCTGTAAAGAGTACACTTGAATACCGCAGCTTACATTCACAAAAATGGCTGCATGGAGATGTTGAACATATTACTAGAAGTTGGTAGAAAATTATGAGGTGATTATGAGCGATAATTAGTGCAGTGTTAGTTTTGGATTACCAACATGACAACGGAAAGGTATGTTAGACATTTTTATTAATTCAATATTTGTTATGATTTTAATCTTGGCACATGAAATCAAAATCAATACTCAAAATTAAGTGGGCCTAACCGAAGTTGCTTTCCTGTGAATTTTGTCAATGTTAGTATGTATTGATCAAGTTAATTCGAATATTTGAAGTAGCAGATATATTGCTAGAAGCAGTTGCTACTATATTCAGTTATGTCAGCCTTATTGTGTCCAGAAGTGGCATTTTCTATTTGTTTACATATTGCTATCAAGAGAGCAGTAATCTAGTACCGTATTTAGGGAAGGGAGGAAACTCTTCTCTACGTTTGGACCATTTTGGTATGCGCGCGTATATGAATAGGTTTTGAGTAAATTATAGTAATATTGATATTATCATGAACAGACTTTCATTACATTATCACAGATTTTTGGGTATGTCAAGAATGAATGTTACACAGATTCATACGGCATTACCTAGGAATTGAAGCCTTCTAGTAACTGGAAAATTTCGTTACTTCTCTGTGAATGCAAATTAACTACATTCCAAGATTGTTAAGGCATCTTTAAACTGTCAGATGTAAATATATTTACATAAATAATGGTTATGAAGGTATTCCAGTTTCACAGATAACATAAAAAAATTTGGTATAATTTTTAAATATATTTTTTGTCATACATAATGTGACAGGTTTTTTTAATAAACATCATAATACTGTGTTTCATTATACATAATGTGACAGGTTTTGGTAATAAACATCATAATACTGTGTTTCATTACTGTTTGGTTTTGCAGAACACTTTTGTCTATTACTCTGTTACATTTGTTACAATTAAAGTAAATGGGCAACCAAGCAGTGTTCTGTACATGCACCACGTGAAAGAAAAAGCATTGCTGGCAATCATGGCCATGAATGATATCAGAGAACCATATCATAAGGGCTGGACATGACACAGCACCATGCAACAGAAAAGAACATGGAAATGATTGAAAAACTGAAAGCTGCATTTTTTGTAGAAGGTTGTATACCTGTTAAGTACCATAGAAAAGGCAAACCAAGAGTAACCCAGTCTGGGAAGAATTTTATGCCATAGAGGCAGCAGTTAAGTATAAGTGGATGGAAGCAAAGTACATATTGAGACTTGTAGCAACACACATGGCAGTGCACAACTTTCACATTAAGGTTTGCATAGTGAGAAATTTATATACTCAGAAAAAATCAGAACATAGCATCTGTTGTTCGCTGATGTTTCAAGAAGTAATAAATTACAAACAACCTTCAAGCCTCCTGGTATTGTGAATGTACCAGATGTTACAGAAGTATTATTGTTTTCATTGAATGGACATTTTAGTGCCAGTGCAGCTATCTTCACTGTCTGTGTCTTTGTGATCTTCCTCTACCTCTTGATTATACATTCATTCTGGTTTCATGTTCTCTCCTAATCTTTGTGTACATTGGAATTTCTTTTTCCCCTCTGTCCTTATCTGTGGTCTTTAGGTATTCTCATTATTATCACTTCTCTTCTTTTCACATACATCTTGTATTAGTTTATTATCTACCACCATCTTAAATCTTAATAATTTTATTTTTTCAGTGCTTTTATTCAAGTGACATTTTAATGCAGCAAAGCATTGAATGTGATAAAGTCAGACCTATCTTGGATGTAATGAACCTTAAAGAGAACATGAAGTTTCATGGATTTAATACCAAGAATAACGATATTGAATAAGACTGTTGTAAATTTCTTATGTTGCTAAGCATGGCAATATTTTGTAGTAAAACCTAAAATAATGACTAGGGATTAAGGTAGGAATATCCTTGTGGATGCCATCTTTGGATTAGGTAGCAAGTTACTTTTACCTTATGTTATTGACCATCTGAAATGCAACCAGACAGAAAAACAAAAATGTTCACTATGTCACATTTTATGATGTTGGTCCATTAATAATTGATAGTCACATGTAACAGAATAAAAACAGTTAAGTAAACTGACATATTATTTTATGTAGTATTTCAGGTTTTTATGCCACTAGAATTGTTGATGGTGATCTGAGTTGTTGCATCATGTAGTCTTTGAATGTATACCAAAGTTTGAGAGGAAGATACCACCTCCATCATCTTCAGAGCTGACGTAATTTTCTGAGGATCTTAATAATATCATAGTACTAGTGTGTTATGCAGCCTTGATACACAATCACTGGCTACAATTTTATGTTCAACGTATCATGCTTCAAGGGCTTATCAACATATTTGCATAATTGGAGATACAACATAGTGGTATATATAAAGTGAAGCTTTTGTGGCGACTGAAGTTGATAAAAGATTCTTGGGTTACAAGCCATGTCAGGTGGCTGAACGGTCCATTCAGCCACCTGACATGGTTTGTAACCTGAGAATCTTTCATCAACAGTGGGATATGTTTTATGACAGAAGGGTGTAATGCTGGTGCCGCTGTATACAGAAATACCTTCTGGCATGATGCCCTCATTGCCATCGTCATGAAAGGTATAAGTTTCCTACAATCTTATTTGTAATGTTTACATGATATACTGGAATTTTAATATATATTTCAATAGCTCTGTGTTATTTGTTTTTACAAAGCAGTATTATTATTAGGTGGTAAGTAAGTGGACAGATGAAGGTTTTGATTTGAGTAGGTAATCATCTATCGTCTTCTGCAGAATGCAGTTGTAATTTTCCAGTTCGCATCCTGGTGTGTGGCGATTACAAATTTAAATATTATTTCCGTCTATAAAACTTTTCCATATTGCACCACATTCTGCAGAATGTACTAAAGAAGAAGGCTGCTTGAATTCTGCCATTAATTATAGACCTGTTTTATGGTTAATATTGTTGTTGGATTTGTATTGAGCTTGTGTTCATTATGTTTCTTATTTCAGGATGGAGTGGGTGGAAATTATAGAGCCACGCACTAAAGAGCATATGTATGCCAATCTGACAACCGGAGAGTGCGTCTGGGATCCCCCATCTGGCGTACCCGTGTGAGTTACTGTAGATTCTTTTAATTTTGAATGTCGCACGACGTGATGCTTCATTTTAGCATTAATTTCTTTGGCTCCATAGGTTATAGAATTTGCTGATGGAAGGTTTTTTTTGGCTCCATAGGTTGTTATAGAATTTGCTGATGGAAGGTTTTGAATGATGAATTAGAAAGGATTTGAAGGAAATGGTCGTGATGCATTTTGAGGTACTTTTTTAGCATTTTCCTGGAGGGAATTAGGAATGTAATGAAAAACCTGTCAGAATATTTTGGGTTCCAGGTCAAGAATTGAATCCTGGACCTCCTAAATTTGAATTGGAATTGTCAGCTACTGAATTAAGATATTTGGTGGTATTTTAGTCTTGTGTGAAGATAATCATCCTCTAGACATAATGATGGTGGCTGATAAAAATACATTATTAAGATCTTTTCCTTTGGGTGGCTGTATTTTGTATGATTATTGTTACATGAAAAGTTAGTTTTTTCTTGTGAAAAAATACTCATCCTTAGCAACACTTATTAATTGTAGCATTTATTTTTTCCAACTATTTGTTCATTTGTGCGTTGCCGTGGTTTCATAGATGATCAACCATTTCAGGATCTTTCATGAGTAGGCACTGCTACCTAGCAATCAAGAAATCCTCTACCTTTTATGAAACCCAGATTTCTGTGTTCACAATATCCATTACTGAGCCAGATGAATTTGGTTCACACTCTCATATCTTAGTTCTTTAAGATAAATTTTAATATTACTCTCTCATCTGCCTCGCATATTGCAGGTTTTATAACTAAAGTGTTATATCCTTTGTTAATTTTATAGGATGTACTGAAGAAAAGGTCTTTGAGACATTTTGTAACATGCTAGTTTTTTTATGGGGTTTCTAACTGCAGGACCACTTCTTGTCAGCTGTCAATGACAACTTTTTAAATATATTTGCAACTGTTTTCCTTATCTGGTGACACAGTATGAGGATGTGTCATGCTGTGGTGACCGAGCTCCCACTTAACATAATAATTTTATATTTGATTGTAAAGAAAATAATTGTGTCACATAGAAGATTTTTAAAAATAAATTAGTTTTACTAAACCTTTTTAAACTGTGTTACTGTTGCAATACCGATTATGTATAATATCAGGTGGCAGATAATTCATATTGATAGTTATGTCTTTGAGATGTTTCATAAGCAAAATTCAGCAGCCATTTCTCACCCAAGTCTCTCCTGATTCAGTACTAGATGGCTCTAGCAGACAAAATCAGGATTGAGTAGAAATTTTGTAGAGGCAGTGGGCTTGTCACTCAACTACTCATAAATGCACACTACAAAGGGTAAGAAACCTCCCACATGTGAGGAGGCCAAGGCTCGACTCGGCCTGTTGTGCCGTAGTCAGTCAGTCAGTCAGTGACATCTTCATATTAAATAATGTGAGTATGTATATGTTATACATTCTCAACATTTTTTGTTTAGCATGTTCCACTGAATGACCTATTCAGGTGCTGTATACATAATAAGGAGCCCGTTGTCTCTTTGTATGCATGATTTATCTAAATGTGCATGCATATACACAGAGCAAGCACTATTTGCCAACAGTTGTCACACATGCTCATTGAAAAGTGTGCAAACTGTTACAAACAGCTGGTCATCTGTTGGTGTACAGTTGTTGATCTGTGAAGAAATAGACATGTTGGTAAATTGTTCTTTCATCAGTGGAGCCCACCTGTACCCTTAATTGTCTTGATGGATGTGAATTTGCCATTTGTTATTGCAAATGAAACTGTGTATCAAAAAGTTGACAGTGGAACCACGGTTCCGGAGAATGTGACGTAAATACGTCTCTGTAATGTAATGAAATGTAATGTAATTTAATGTAATGTAATAATTCTTATATAAGATAAGTACTTGTGATATTTTAAAACGTTTTTACCAGCACAAAATTATCTAGTCTACGACACACTTCTTCTACAACCGATTTACAGCTCAGCTCTTTCTGCAATAACGAAAGCGGATTGTTGATGGCAGTAATGTAACACAGCAATGCCGAGTAAACAGATGACGTAATAATTAGTTTCTTAGGTAACATAACAATGCACGCAAGCTGACCATTGTTGTCCAAATGCTTTGTTTTTCCATACCTCTTTCTTTTCAGGCACAGAAATCTATTAACAGAAGCAAAGCAATAGTACACATATTACACTACATTAACTATTTTCCCTTTGATTTGGTTAAACATACAATACATTAAAAACAAGTTCCAAGTAGAAGTTGCACGTGTTAATGAAATATACAGTTTATGTCATGTACCAACTTCTTGTATGATGAGCTGCATAATAAACTTAAAATTATTTGTTGTCAGGACTTTTTCCATCGTCTGTTTTTAAAATTCACGACGTTTCGGAGGCTGTCCAGTGACAGAGACTAGCTCTTTCTAAGGGACCCAACAGAGTAGGCACGTCACGTCGTGAATTTTAAAAACAGACGATGGAAAAAGTCCTGACAACAAATAATTTTGAGTTTATTATACAGCTCATCATACAAGAAGTTGGTACATGACATAAACTGTATATTTCATTAACACGTGCAACTTCTACTTGGAACTTGTTTTTAATGTATTGTATGTTTAACCAAATCAAAGGGAAAATAGTTAATGTAGTGTAATATGTGTACTATTGCTTTGCTTCTGTTAATAGATTTCTGTGCCTGAAAAGAAAGAGGTATGGAAAAACAAAGCATTTGGAAAATATGTATTATATAAAATGGAAGATACCTTTCCACACCCATTTTTTTAAAAGAGTTTCTGTCATACACAATTGTGGCATTTGCAGAATGTCCATTTATTAATTTTCTGAAGTCATATGGTGGTTGATGCAGATCTATCAGACAAGTCTGTCATACTGAAATCAAAGTTGACATTTTACTAAAGAAGTTTCAGTACCTTTATACCAACTTAAGGGGTTAAACACACAGTTTACCTCATGTTTAATGATGTGAAACAATAATAATCACCTTACAGTAATATGGCTGTCAGTTAGAGACACCAGTTTGAATCAGTTTGATATCCAGTTTGACTTTTTCCTTCAATAATGCTCCCAGGTTATTCAAAAACCATACTTAATAGTGCATTGTTAAGTAACTGGTCTATTCACAAACCTTCGGGTATGGAATAGTGTGTATGTTATGAGATGGGAAGCCTGTTAATTAATAGGGATGTGACAGGTCACATGGACCCAATATATTGCAGTATTGTAGCAAGCCTCCTTCCTCCCCCCCTCCTGCTGCAAATTGTTGGCCTGGTGAAACGTCACCATATCCCTCATCCCCTTAGTCTGTGAGCAGTTGCTCACCTGTGAACTCACATGCTCATGACAGTTCTAGATTGTGCCATTAGGTGGTGTTGTTTCTACATTGTCTAAGACGGGTTCTCACCCTTTTTTGCTGGCGTGCCACTAATTCTAATTTAACACGTTAAATGTACCACTAACCAAATGTGTTCAGGGAAAACTTATTTATGTTAATATTATCTTTTGATTTTCTTACTTAGTTCATGTACCACTCAACATTGGCTCGCGTACCACCAGTGGTATGCATACCATAGGTTGAGAAAGGCTGGTCTAAGAGACTGAGTTAATGATTCGAAAATCAACTAGAACAACTGTAACTAAAAAGATGGCTTACCGAACCCGAAGGTTCATCACCGAATTAACCAAAGCCCTCCTCCGGACCCTGTCCTGGGCCAACAAAATCCATTCTCCTTCGACTCCTATCTCCCATAGATCCCGCCTGAGATTATCCTCCCATCTACATCTAGGTCTCACCAGCAGTCTCTTCCCCTCAGGTTTCCCAACCAGTACCCGGTGCACACCTCTTGTCCCATCCATGCGCGCTACATGCCCCGGCCATCTCATTCTTCTTGACTTAATCATCCTGACAATACTGGGGGAGGAGTACAGATTTTTAAGCTCATCATTATGCAGTTTTCTCCATGCACTAGAACAACTCTGAGTTGTTTAAAATGAGGTGTTCCGGCATAGGGCAAAGAGTAGTGTAGTGTTGGCAGTATGAGTGATTGCTGAATTGGTTCAAAGGTGTTAAAAGTGATGTATAAGTGGGAAGTTGTTAATGTTAAGAAGTGTTGAAGTGGATAGTACAACAAGGAAGTGCAAAGTGAGAAGCGTTGAAATAGCCAGCACAAGTACTGGATACAGGATTAGTGGAAGAGCAGTGTGTGAATAATAGTGGTGCAGCACAGCAGGCACATGGTGCTGAGTTCAATACCAGAAGAACAACGTTACCAGTGGTACTATTTGCTGGATTTTTGATGCAGGATAATTGCGTTTGTGATTGCAGCCATATTAGTGTCCAGTAACCCAACTTGAGTGAATCTTCTGTGTGAACAGTGATTACCTAACTGTATCAACATAAATTGACCATGCCATAGCTCAGGTGGTTCATTGTCAGCTTCTAAGCATGGTTGCCCAAGTTTGCACCCCGTAAATTATATGTGAGAGTTTTGTAGTGGACGAATTGACACCAAGACAAGTTTTTCTCTGTCAGATTTTGCTGCTGCTCGATATTTGTGTATCTTCTGGGGACTGGATGGTGGACCCATTCACAGCCACAATTGTACAGGGACATAGTCTCTTACATTTGCAACAATAACAGTTTAAATAACTAACTTACTAACTCCATTGTAGCTGAACCCACAGGTTCAACACTGATAAAACCAAAGCCCACCACTGGTCAAAATTCTGAGCCATCTCCATCCATTTACAATTCTCACAGCCCACCTCCCTAAGATCCATCTTGATACTATCCTGCCATCTCCTTTGTCTGCCCAATGGTCATATTCCAGATTTCCCACCAAAATTCTGTATGCACCCTTTACCTCCATGTGTGCTACATGTCTAACCCATCAGCACCTCCCAGATTTCACCATCCTCACTATATGCTAGGTAACCTTTAAAATTTACACAGCTTCTCATTATGTAATATTCTAAATTCTCCACTTATTTCATTCTTCCTAGGTCCAAATATCTTCCTTAGCACGTTGTTTTCAAACACTTGTAATGTACATCCTTCCTTCAAGGTAAAAGGATGTATCATAACCATACAAGACAACAGGCAAAATTATTGCTTTATATATCGTGAACTTTATTGTTCTGGATAGCAAACAGAATAAAAGTTTTCGAATTGAATAAAAACAACCGTTCCCCAAATGTATTCTTTTCTCAGTTTTATCATGGACCTCATGTCTATTTGTTATTTTTGTTCCCAGATACTTAAATTTTGAAACATTTTCAAATGATGAGTTACTTATAATTATGTTGCTGATGTTGATCTCATATTATGCCCATGTATTTAGTTTTGTCTACATTTACTTCTAGGCTTACTTCCTTGTTAGCCTGTAGGAGAGTTTCTGCATTCTTGGTTATGGTACCCACACCATCCCCCAGCAAATTAACATCATCAGCATAGGCAAGTACCGGGTGCAGACCATTAAATTTGAGCCCTTCCTCATTCCCTCTGACCTTCCTGATGACATGTTCTAGAGCAGAATTAAAAAGCATTGAGGATAAAGCATCCCCCTGTTTTAAGTAATTGTGCACTGGGAATGGATCCAAGAGGTTACCTATATGAATACTAGATACCCCATCCATACACATCTTAATTAACCTAACAAGTTTCTTTGGTATTCCAAACTCAATCAAAATTCCATACAGTACCTCTCTTCTGAGTCATATGCCTTCCTAAAATCCACAGATACTTGGTGTTCTGGCCCATTATACTCCCACTTTTTCTCTGCTATTTGATGAATGCAAAAGATCTGATCAGTAATTGACCTATTACGGCAGAATCCACATTGATTGTTCTCGATGGTCTCATTCTCATTAATAAATGGTGTTAACCATGCCAGAAGAATATTTTATACAATTTTATATGACGTTAACAAAAAAGAGACACCATGGAAGTTACCACACTTATTTTTTTAAACTGTTTTATGGATAGGGACAAAAATTTATTATTTCCACTGTTGTAGTAGTACTTTCTGGTTCAAAATTGAGACTGTTAGCTTATGTATCCCTGACTGCAGTGTCCTACCACCTGCATGGATAGCAGTTTACATAAATTACAAAATTGGCTTTCCAGTGGATGTTCATGGCTACTGATGTTATTTTTCTCTCTGTTGGTAGTTACCAACTCTGGAGAGAAAGAATATGATTGAAGTGAAGCCACAAAGAAGTTGATAATTTTTTAGAGGACAAACCCTTCTTTATAGAGCTACAGCATTTGATATTTTGCTGTTCAAGAAATGACATAATATGGTTTTCTGGGTTGTGATGCCATGTGGTTATGTCGGTAGGTACCAACATTTTGGATTAACATACTTGGTCCATCTTCAGGGCTAAGCATTATGTTCCTCTGAAATGTTGGTACCCACCTATAAGTCTTCATGGTGTCAACCCAAAACACTGCCATTGACATCATCAGTGTTATACGAATCTTGAGCCATTTATATATCAGGAAATAGTTTCATATGTTACTAAATACATGAAAGTTGGTGTAACAATTTTAATTTTACATTTATTAATATGTTTAAATTTTATAGATATTTGGTATATGTGTGTAACAACAGCAATTTAGTCATTAATGCTAAATTCTTTAGATCACATGGCCAGGATTAAATTCATTACAGATATATTGGAGTTTATTCTTTGTCACCATTTTCAGAAAGACTGTGGAGCCATATCTGTTTCTCGTACATTGGGTGTTGGAGCCTTTTTCTCTGGAAATAGATTGTCAGTACATGAGGCATGGCATTAAACTATCTTTAATACTGAGAATATGGATATTTGGAACTTTACCACTACGCTTTCTGTACACCTTCTTTTTGTGGTGCAGAGCACAAGAATAGTTTATGTACATTTGTTAGTGTCCAGTTATGATACGTTACTCTGTGAATTTAATAGTTTTTAATTTTATTGTTTCCTTATACAGATTAATCAACTTGTAATCAACTGCCCTATTATTTGGTGTTGTTTATGTGACTGAAGTAGATGTTCACTATAATTTGAATATTTTTTTGCATTTGAAATAATCAATTACAATATTAAATTTTCAGCAAGAAGACAGACAACAATCAGTGGTGGGAACTGTTTGACCAGAATACATCCCGATTCTATTACTATAATGCAACATCACAGAAAACAGTGTGGCATCGGCCACAGAACTGTGACATAATTCCGCTTGCAAAGCTCCAGGTAATGGTGCAAGCCTGCATGTGGTAGAACATGTATGTTATTTCGTATTGCTGAGAAGACAGAAATTGGTCATGATGAATGAAACTTAATCGTAAGGTGGAGAGTTCCATAATGTCACCAGATGACATGTTCTTCATGGAGGATCACTCCTTTTAGACATACTTGATAACATATATTTTAGATTTTATTTTTAATATGACTCTTCACATAAGTACTTACCATAGAAGATAATGTAAGTAAAGTGGGGTATGAAACATAATCCTATTACAAAATTTGATACACACATTTGTAATTATGGTAATTTTGAACAGAATCTCATTTTTTATGGACAAAATGAAAGATATTGAATAACTGTCATACAACGATTCTGTTTGTTTCTTTTGCATAGCAAAACATAAGAGTAGAAAAAACAAGGCATTTTATCATGTAGAGCTGTTAGTATTTTGTAGTACTGTGACAGTTTAACACTTGTTTTTGGAATTTATCATTTGTTTTCCATTTGTTTACTGCAGACGTTGAAGCAAAACACAGAGCCAGTATCAGAAGATGCAGTATCAACTGACGAGCCTAAAAGAAAGGAGTCTGTTGCAACACAGACTCCTGGGCGGACTGTGAAGAACTCCAAAAGTCAGCAGGATTCCATCACACCAACTCCAATTCCAGTGAGTTTACTGGTTAAATAAGGTGAAAATTATGAGAACAAATATTACGTTTGTGTGATAAAATTATAAATTTCACACGAAATTTGTCAGCTGATAATGTAGAATAATTTCTATTATTCACATACAGATTGTCTTTAATTGCCATTTTAGAAAACTAGTCTTAGTTTTATTCGCTATTGGTGTACTAGTGGTTAGCGTGCTTGCCGCTGGACCCAAGGTTCCCGGGTTCAAACCCGGCCTAAGTCGATGGATTTTTAAGGGTGGCTGGCTTTTATATTACATAATGTTTAAAAGTTTCTGAAGGGGTATACTCTGTGCTTTTTATCTTTAGCGGCAGACTCGCATTCATCCTCTAGGCCTTGATCTGTTCCACGTATGTTTTACATCAGTGTTTTTAAAAGAAGTGTCAGGGCAGCACCTTGACACTGAAAAAGCACTGGGTGACTACATCCCTGCCTATAATTTACTTACTTTGTGTAAAATGGTTTGAATGACTGTAGGACTTTGTACATGGGTTACTTTATTAATGATAAGTAATTGTTTGTAATAATTACATTTAGTCACTCTTTACATCGTATGTTAATGGACGTACAATTGAAGATACATGCCAGGGCTGTGGATTTAGGTTATCTGCATCATTTAAATCCTTCTTGATATCTCATCACGGTTTAAGCAATTCAAGAAGGGAAGGCAGTTGATGGAGGATGATTCTTCTATCGGTAAATGAACAACAGCTTTAAAGGGGATACCATTCTGCCTGTTTTATGATGAGAGGTCATTAAACATGACTGTAGACAAAGTATCTGGTAAGACAGTTACATTAAAAGTATTTTACAAGGTAGTCGCTTTCTATTCAATGTGACATGTACATGTGTTGCATTTTTTGTAAAATATTGCTGCTGACTGCCATGTGAAATGTGGCCTCCTGAGATGTGAGCTTATTAATACAGAGTTATCTAGGTTTAGAAGCCTTTCAGTTGGGAACTAGTATTCACACTGGAAGTTTCATGCGTATAGTCAGAAAGAATCTTAACACTAGTAGCCGTGTTAGACATCCCCAGTTTTGTACACCAGAATGATTGAACTGGGAAAATGCTGATTTATGCCCTGCAATATGGTATCAAGCAGAAGCCTGTATGTCACCAATGAAGTATTGGACATGGTATAAGTAAAGCATATTTGCATTCTTTAAATATGGCTTGCTATTTTGACAGTTTAATCTGGAGGAATAATTTGGCCAGAGTTTGCTGATATTTATCTTGAGACAAGGAAGTTGTATATGTATGTCAGCTGGTCTGCAGTGGGACAACAGAAACTAGGTAAATACCCAGCAGTTTTTAATCAAGTTTTGCACAAGAGCTGGCAGTATTATCTGTTATGTTTTGGCATCAAATGATGCCAAATTCAATAGTCTATTTTAGATGTAATAGTAATGTGATAGCATCCCTGGGAATGTTTTAAGTGTGGCTCTTAAAAGTAGCTTTTTTTAAAACTAGTTAATGAGCTGATAATATTCTCTGTCCAGCCTGCTTCAGGTAGCAGCAATAAGGCAGATTCACTCCGCCCTTCTCATGCTCATGTACCATCAAATTGCTCCAACAAATCATCTGTGACTTCTGAGACTCAAACTTCCCCTGTGGGGTCACCACGCTCAGGTAGACGAGGACACCATCACCACCATCATCGTCATCATCATACCAGCAGTGGTGGACGTGGTGAGGAAGAGGGAAGTGGTCAGCGTGGCAGGAGGGGAAGTCAGGGCAGTGGATCCTGGTACAATAGAACAACACATTCTCAGGTGAGGCACAAATTCATACAAGGTTTATCTCAAAATAGCTTTTCCCAACAGGTTTACCCTCTTTCTAAAGCATTGGTCATACTCAATGTAGTGTATATTAGTGTTTGAGTCTCAGAGAAAGAAATTTCTCATGAGATTTTTGACCGGTGTATGGGACCAGTGCCAACCCAGCATCATGAGGAAATTGGGGAGCTACAATGGGTAGCGTAATCCAGTCATGGAAAATAGCAATGGCTGGAGGTTCGTCTTGCTGCTGCGTTGTGTTCTTGCTCAATGTTTATTGTGCTTTGGTGGTTAATTGAATGGAAAGGTCTCGGGATCAGATCCACAATTTCTTGGCATTTGGTAACAAATGGGTTCACCACATGAAGAAAGAGCTTATGACAATGAAATATTTATGACAATTTTATATTTTAACAAATTCCTGCTACATATCATTTTATAATTGTAAGGTAATTAATTCATTGTATTGTTACAAAACACAATTTTACAACATTTATTGTTTAACAAATGTAAATCAAATGATCTTAGCTGCTAATGTTTTTGATTAATCTTATTAAATGAAAATCTTGAAAATCACTGATTTATAATAACTTCATTAGCAGTTGGACCGTGTGGTGGTTTATTGGTTAGGATACAGGTTCATTCATGATTGGTATTCATTGTTCTCAATCCTGACCACTGCCATTAATATCAAAATTATGAAAAACAATGAAACATATCTGTCTGTATAATGTGCAGCCTGTCATCTGAATATAGGAGTGGCCTCAGCATGCAAAATTCCATGTTTATTAAATATACCTTAGGTAATAAATTATTTCAAAAATAATTGCATTTTAGTGAACTGATCATTGTTACACAGCTCTAGAGAGTCATGATTGGTCTCGTGTAGCATAAAGTAATTTCCGTTTGGCGGGGTGGGGGCATTTGTATAACTGTGTATTAAGTTCTATATGATAGATGTTCAAATGTTACTAGTAATTAACCTTCAGGTGTTTTATTGTTATATTAAAGATTTCTTTGACGATGACTGAAAATGACCTGGAAGTGTGTTATATGTTACCTTTGCATGATATATCTATTTAAAAGGTGATGTTAGTGTGTGTATGATAGGAGCCTAATTGAACATCAGAGCCGGTCTGTAATGATTTGTAGTAAATAAATGTTAATTATTGATTTTATCGTGCATTTTAACCGCAGATCATAAGTCATACTGTTCAATAAAAATCTGTGTGTACCACCTGTAGATGGTCAGTGACTGAAACTTGTGGTGAGAAAGAAATACTGAGATAATAAGGTGTGTAGACATATTTGCTATTAATATTATTGCAGCATGTTACACAGCACGGTGCCTTTAAGAGAGCTAGTCTGGACTGGTAATGAAGAGAAAATTACAGTCCCCACTGGGAATCAAATCCTGATTATGATTCCATAGCCAACTCCAACTCTACTGTAAAGCATATACATTTCTGCTGTTCTACTCACCAGACAGTATTTTTCGCATTGGTTTATGTTGTTTCAAGTACTTGCAAGTAGTAGCTCATAATTATGTCAACAAGTTGTTACCCCCTCTGGGGGTCGCCAGTCTCCTTCAAGTGGTTGCAGCCTGGATTGGTGTGTGCACGTCATGTTGTCATTCCTTGAATAACAACCTCATCCTTACTATGCTAGCCTCAAAGGATCCAGGACATGGGAAATGGTTTGCAGTATAGATATGAGGTGGGCCCAGTGGGATGAAGGATGATTCTGTGCCTTTACAGTGATTGAGTGAATTGTTTAAAGTTAACTGTGAGGACATGCAAGCAGTAAACTATCTTTATTGGAGATTAGCACAGTGGTGTAATATTACATTATATTAAAGAGAACATTTATACCCATATAATTGAAACTGTGATTTGTTAGGTGACTGTTAATCAAGAAACTAATTAACTGCAGTAGTGTATGGAATAAATTCATCTCAGATTTCAAAGAGCCCACAGTACAGTCACTGATGTACTCTAAAATATGTTTAGACTTGAACATGAACAAAAAATGTCTGGTATAGTTACGTGGCATAGAAGTTTTAGAAATTATGGTTTTAATGTCTGGTCTGTTTTTCAATAAAAGTCATTCTAGAATGTTTGAATAAACAAGATCTTTGCATGCTTTGTTGCTTTCTAGGATTCTGGAAGATCAAGTGACTCCAGTTCAGTGTCACACAGTCGCACAAGTCTTGAATCTGGTTACCGTTTATTAGAATCTCCACATCATCACCATCATTCTTCCAACAGTCATCACCATCATCATCACAGTCATCGTCACACTGCTAGCAATCCAGCTGGTATGTACTTGCATATATTGGTCTTACTTCTTTGTGTGTTGTTAAGGATACAGATCCCAAGGAGCCATATGTATGTATAGTAAACTCTCATGTAAAAATGTCAGAAAAACAAAAATTCAGAGTAACTAACATATCGTTCAACCACTTCCAAAGTACCATATAATCTTGTGGAAAAAAGTTCACCATAATGAATATTGGTATAATGAATTCTTCTTAGGCTATCGACCATGTAATGTGGTTTAATGGGGAAAACACAGTACCTTGAGGATGAGGACGAAGATGGTTCTTGAAATGTTAGTATTTTTTCCATTAAACCACCTTACATGGCTGGTAGCCTCATATTAATAAATTTCCAGAGGTATCTCTACTCTAGATGTGAATAAAAATAATTGGAAATGATAGGAACAAGATATAGGATTAACGCGGCTGATTGCCCGAGAAGATTATATTGATAGGAGCAAGAGTTGTGGTAGAGAGACGTGCATGAAAATTAAAACAAATTATACCCCTAGTGTTGTCAGATTTTTATTTAATGTTTAGAAAGTTACTTCATTCTGGCTTTAAAAGTGCACATGATTGCCGTATTGATATCTTTCAGTATATGAAAAATGTTTAATTTAAAATTGGAAGGTATTACTATAGCCCTCCCCCCACCAAACACACACACAAACAAATTCCATGTGCTTAGCTACTTATGGTTCACAGTTTATAGTAATAAGAAATATCATTGTCTGTGTTTTTTTATATTATCATTTCCATTTTAACCTTATTAAATTTAAACTCCAATTTTATAAAATGCCATGTTTTCAGACTGTATTCTACTAGTATGTCTCATAGTTCACAGGAGAGTTCTTAGGTAGTTTATGAAAGATTCTCGGGCTGCAAGCCATGGCAGGTGGCTGAACGGTGAAGAAATCATGGCAGAAGATGTGGTTTGTTCACCGTTCAGCCACTTGACACTGTTTGTAGCCCAAGAATCTTTCATCAACTTCAGTCGCCACGAAAGCTTCACCTCCTACATCCTAAGTACTTGTGTCACTTCACGTGACTTACAAATGTTTATCACTTATCTATTTTTGTTCTTTTAGAGAAAAGATTTTTTCACTGGTGTTCCGCTAGAGTTCATATCATACTATGTTTTGCAGCTTTTATTCATTTTTCGTGCTACATTTCTGTAATGATACTACTTACACCGCCAGTTGCCATTTACAAATTGTTGTAATCATTGTCAATAACCTTTTTTGTATGAAAGGAGGGGCTTAAAATCTTTGCACTGTATGGCCACCAGCCATATCTAAACTTGGGTGGTTTAATGGTTGTGGTGTGCTACTGGGACACGTGGTCATTTGCACCATGCGTAAGCCATGACACTTGACCAATAAATGTTATGAGAACATATAAATAAATTACAATGCTCAGGATCTTGAGAAGGTTATTTTGGATGCAGTTTATGATCTGTCAAATGCAACCTTGTAATCTTATATTATAATTGCTATTTTGTTGTAATTCTTCAGGACTGTCACCACCTCTTGATCATCGGCTTCGTGATAGGGATGTTCCTGCAATCTCATTAGAACAGAGACATAGAGATGGTAGTAGCGGCCTAACCCTTTCTACTAGTACTCCTCTTTTTAAGAAGAAACCTCTTGGTGAAGCTAATTCACAGGTATTTACCTTCAGAAACTATAGACATTGTAATAACTTTATTTGTACTCAGATACTAATTTATCTGCGTGCTACCCATAATTTTGTTGGTGTCACATTTTAATGTAAGATTTGAGGTTTTCACAGCGGTGAGTATGAAGATTTCTGTCTTCTGGGTTGTTGCGCTGTGTAGTCTGGTCGATGTTAGCCAACGTTTCAGAGGTCCACCAGACTACACAGCGCAACAACCCAGAAGACAGAAATTTTCACATTTCAATGTTGGGTGGTTTATGTTGTAGTTCTTGCTTTTGGAGAAGTAATTACTAGAATTTTATTTTGCTTTGATAATATGAAATACCCTGTGCCCTTGAATAAGTCAAACACCCAATTTTTTGTAAGAAATGATTGTTTAAAGAAATTTATAGATATTTCATTAATTGTTAAAGTGTGCATGTTGATTATAAGTGTACATAATACATTGTTTTGAAATTCAGACATGATATTTTTGTTTCTTTATGCTATGACCACATCCTGAAACACAAAAATGGTGTGCAACAATGTTACTGTCTCACGTTTTGATATGTTTCTTCCTCAAATCAACTAACTAACTAACTAGATGGCTCACTGAACCCAAAGGTTCATCACCGAATTAACCAAAGCCCTCCACCGGACCCTGTCCTGGGCCAACAAAACCCAGTCACCTTCAACTCCTATCTTCCATAGATCCCGCCTGACATTACCCTACCATCTACGTCTAGGTCTCCTCAGCGGTCTCTTCCCCTCAGACTTCCCAGGCAATACCCAGTGCACACCTCTTGAACAATTCATGTGCCCTACATGCCCCGCCCATCTCATTCTTCTCGACTTAATCACCCTGACAATACTTGGGGAGGAGTACAAATTATTAAGTTCATCATTATGCAGTTTTATCCATGCCCCATTGTCTTCTCTCTTAGGCCCAAATATCCTCCCTAACACCCTATTCTCAAAACACCTGCAATCTGTGTTCCTCCCTCAGAGTGAGAGACCATGTTTCGCACCTATACAAAATAACAGGCAAAATTATTGTTTTGTATACTTTAATCTTCAGGTTCTTAGAAATCAGACAGGAAGACAAAATATTTTGAACTGAGAAGTAGCAAGTATTTCCGGAATTTATTCTCCTCCTAACTTCCTCATGAGTATCATTTTGATTTGTTATTGTTCCCAAATATTTGAACTTTGTGACACTTCCAAAGGATTTACTAGCCACCCTAAGATAATTTTGCCCGCCTGTCTTCTGATGACGAGATAGAAACAAAATATGATAAAAAAATTATGTCCATCTTCCCTTCCCTTAAACCAATCCTCTAAGAAGTTACACACACTTACCATAGCATAATGTGATTTACCACAATCACTTACGTTGGCCAAACCTTGAGACTCAAACTGATTACGCTGCTCACATCCATAACACACATCCTTTTTCTTTGGTAAAAGCACTTCCATTTCTTCTACTGTATCCCTGTGAACTGCAGCTGTATTTCCACCTGAGAGTAACCTTTGGAATCCATGAACATTCATAATGACTAATCCTTTGTCAATAGAAGCTGCTGTCTGCATAAGACTGCTCATTGTTGCATCATCTGGAACCGGCACTGAAGAAGGTTGTACTTGCTCAACTGGTTGTTTTATCTGAAAATACAATACATAATCATATGCCTGTAGGAAATGAGAGCCATATCATAAAATGTATAAACTAAAGCTTTCGCGGCAACTGAAGTTGATGAAAGACTCTCGGGTTACAAGTCGCGTCAGGCAAATGAACCATATCTTCTGCCAACATTGGGATGATGGTTTCACTCTGAGCTGGGCCTGATATCCTGTGACAAAACTGTTGTCTGCCCAGATGGCCGAGCCAGCGACCTCAACTGCCAGTTCCCACTGGTCGGCACAAAACAAAGGATCAGATTTGTTACACAGCAGCCCTGATGATGAGCAGAGATGGTTCTTGAAACGTTGGCGGAAGATATGGTTTATTCACCATTCAGCCACCTGACACAGCTTGTAACCTGAGAGTCTTTCATCATATCAAAAAATATTACATATCAAAAAATTTCAATGAGAGTCTAGTCTATATCTGCAAAATTCTACAGTACATACTTTGCATTTTTCATACATATTTAACATGTTAAACAGTTATGTCACCTCAAGCATGAATAAGTCATGTGTTATAGTCAGATAAATACTATCATCTTCAAATTCATTCTGTAGAATGACAATGCTAGAACCTAATGTGTAATAAGCACAGGTACTAATGACATTGCAAATTAATTAAACAGGTATGACAGAAATATCAGAATTTCGTCTGCAGTGAGTTTTATGTTTTTGACTAAATCAAGGTAGTGTGGGGAAAACAAACAATTAACCTTCAGCCCATGTATGTTGCACGAAATAAATAACATCTATGAAAACTACTGTCTTCCTGGATATGCCATCTAGTCTTGTAAAAATGTACCAATGCTTCTGAGGTGCGTACTACCTCCATCATCAGGGGGACAGAGCAAGAGAGCCAATGAAAGAGTTGGGAGTCCACAGCCTGGATGGGGAAAGAGAACCATGTAAGCAGACAGGTCCGGACAAGTTTCAACCTTGTCAGGCTGCTCCTGTATCTTACCCTAATTTTTTTATGCAAGGCTTACTCATTACCCTGTCCCGCGCCGTAGCCGCGTGGTCTGAGGCATCATGCTTCGGACAGGTGATACAGAATGCGCGCCGGTTTGAGTCTCGGGGAAAGAAATTTCTCATGAGATTTTCGACCGGTGTCAACCCAGCATCGTGAGGAAATTGGGGAGCTACAATGGGTAGCATAATCCTGTCAAGAAAACTAGCAATGGCTGGGGGTTCGTCGTGCTGACCACACGTCACCCTACATCTGGTTGGATGATCATTCACCTCTGCTTAGGCATGTAAACGTGGGCCAGCAGCCAGCTAGTCGGCTTTGACTCTCAGAGGGCTGTTACACCACGGATTATTATTACTCATTACCCTGATAACAATGAAAGCAGTACGCTCCATGAGACTACATGGTGCAACATCCCAGAAGACAGCCATCTTCACACTCACTACCATGAAAACCTGAAATCTCACTATCAATGTTTACTGAAGTGTAAAGTTTATCAAGACACAGCTATTTTATCTCTGTAAAGATTTTGTTGTAGTGTCTCCAAGGGATTCTACATAATACTACTATAGTTTAATAACTAGAAAATTAACATCATCTAAAAGAAAGTCTTGGTGCTATCCTCATTACCTTTGCAGAACCATTGAACATTGTAATTGGAAACCAACAGATGGAGAATGTGGAGCATTTCAAGTACTTGGGAAGCATAGTCACGACGGACACCCTATGCACCAAGGAAGTAAAAGCAAGGATAGCCATGGCCAAGGCAGCTTTCGTCAAGAAGAGGATACTTCTCACTAGCAAGTTGGGCTTGGAGATGAAGAAGAAACTAGTGAAGTGTTACGTATGGAGTGTCGCGCTGTATGGAGCAGAGACTTGGACACTCAGGAAGAAGGAACAGAAATACCTGGAGAGTTTTGAAATGTGGTGTTGGAGAAGAATAGAGAAGATCAGGTGGACGGATCGAGTGACAAACGAAGAAGTATTGAGGAGAGTCAAAGAGCAAAGAATCATTCTGCAGGCGATTACACGAAGGAAAGCTAACAACTGGCTGGGACATATTATGAGAAGGAATGGATTAATGAGTGATATCAATAATAAAAGAAAGTCCACAAATGCTTCTAACAGTGCTTACATTTCTAACTTTGGCCTCCAGGTCGTTCATTCCTATGCGTAGAGGTAATGTATCTGTGGCTTTCATGTCTCTGTAAATGTGCATGATATTAGGACACATTATAATTATGACCAGCTGCCTCAAGATAGGAGCGGAACCAACTTATGCACATCAAATATACCTCAGAAAAATGGCATAATGGATCAACCAATTACACATACTATCACTATGCTAAAAAGAAATAAAAGTATTTGGTTAATCACAAACTATTATTGTGACTTAACAAGCATTTATGATGCAGATTAATATATAAAAGCAACAGTGAGCAATTTAAGATTACTGGTATAATGGTTTTATAACTTATATTAATTGCAAAGTTCTAGGAAAACAATGCAGCCACACACACAAGCTAAATATTCTGCACAGTAATTACACCAGACATAAAGAATTAGTGTTACTCCCTTACGTTTACCACTTGATATACTGGCCATCCGCAAAAGTTGCGTTGTACGGGGTTAAAGAGTCGTGGAAGGCAAGTGGAACATAGATCTGCCCACTTCTATTAAATTTCAAAAAACATTTCATTGTTATTGATTTTATTCATTTCAACAAATAAAAAACTCTTTTCTGTAAAACAGAGCTTGAGGTAGATTAATAGAAAATAGACAGTTAAAAAAATAGTTTTAAGAAAAGTGAAACATTTGATTCTGAGCAGTTAATGTTTTCATGACAGAAGGTACGCGTATCTCTCGACCAAGTGGCTAGGAAAAGGTGGTGTAATCCCTGATAAAAACATGCAACATAACCACACAAATTGCCAATGGTATATCCTTCAAATGTCAATCATGTTTTGGACGGGGGCTTTTCATTTATTACAGACACAAATCTATGGCTGCAGAGTCAAATAAGTAAAAGCAAAGCATAGGGAAGACTTCATCTTTCAATATATTGAATTAAATATTCAACATAATTTTGTTTTGTAGATGAAACAGAGAGACACATGGATAGACATGACTTCCCCATTGTGTGTTCATTATAAGCACTTTGTGCAAAGAACACCGTATTAATTGATAGTATCAACTTCCTTTCCAGTGCACAAAAGCAAGAACTTATCAAAGAGCCAGATTATTTGCAAGTTTAATTAATAACAGTACAGACATGAAATGTAGTACTAATAATAAATGTAAATCTTCTTGTTTTTCGGGTTTAACAATATTTGTTCATTTTTCCGTACTCTTTAAGGGGTCCCCAACTTTTTCAGTTGGCTTGATCAATGGACATTCGGTAGGACTCCTTCGATGAGGGATCGGCCCATCGCAAGGCCTCTACTTGTACACAGGACAACACAACACAGAACATCC